GTAAATTAAGAATCCACCAATTAACACAGTCTATAGATTCCTTTGAAAGCTTCATTTTCCTATCAAAATTTCCTTTATTTATTTTTAACTCAAAGTCTTTTTGTATTTCTAAAGTTTTGTAAAACAAGGGTGCATATTAAACACCATGTTCAGCTGCAATTAATTTCCCAATGAGTTTAGCAAACTCACGCACCGTAATAGATTCTTTATTCAACATTTCGACACTTAAATTTACAATGTTTGCCACTTTCTTAGCTTTTAATCAAACAGTCATATTAACTGAGTCTATTTCAAAACCTAAAAACTCAATTTTTGTAGTTGGTGTAACAACTGATTTCCCATCGTGTATGGTAAATCCTAAGCTATCAAATAACAGCAATGAGTTTTTTACATTGTTACTGCATTCTTCATGTGAGTCACCGATGAGTAAAATATCATCTATATTTGCACAATTAACATATCCTTCCTTCCTCAAAGAGGAAAGAACTGGTTTTAATAGTTTTTTGTAAACACTCTAGGAGCTGAAGATAAACCGTTTGGCATAGCAGTAAACTGAAAAAAGTTTTCTTTCCATTTAAATCTTAAATATTTCCTGTCCTCAAGGCTAATTTTTAGACTATAAAAGGCATCTTTAATGTCCAGTCTAGAAAAGAGGCAGTTTTGTTTAACTAATTCTATAGCTGACTTGAAAGTTTCCATTTTGAAATGTTTATACTCTAAATGCTCATTTAAATTACTTAAATTGAGGATAAGTCTATGAGATCCATCAGGTTTAGGTGTTATAAATATGTGTGATACAACTTCCCCAAACTGATGGTTAGTTAGTTCAATGACACTTTTATTCAACAAATTTGATAGCAGGTCATCAATAATGAGTTGCTCAGTGTCATTAAATTTTATTTCTTTACGTGAACATTTATTACAAGGTTCAGTCTCAAATTCTAAGTGATAACCTTGAGACACAATGCTCAAGAGGTTTATGTCACTTGTAATGTTTTTCCAAACTGGTAAACAGTTTGAAAATTTTCCTGCTACAAAAATGGCAGGTATATTTTCAAGACAATGTAATTCATTGACCATAAAAGTACTTACATTATCTTGTGTAACTAGTGTTTCTTGTTGCCCAGATTTCCCTTGCCTTTCTTGTTTTTCTTTCCTTCTCGGTTCATCTGGGCCCGTTTGGCTAAAAAAGAACTTTTAAAGCCACTACTATAACCACTGTTAAAACCATTGTTCTTATTATTGTCCCTGTTTAATTTCTCAGGCTCTCTAGTTTTATCTTTGCCAAAACCTTTAACAGATCCAATCTTTTTCCCAAGTTTGACACTATCATCAATTTCCTTCATTCTTTTTTCCAGGTCTTCCTGTTCACCACAGATATTTTGAAGAAATCTTTTCCCCTTCATTGGAAAGTACATAGTACTTCTTGTCAAGTGCTGGAGTCAGTAATCTTTTCGCTGGCTAGACATGTCTCTGTGTGCATACAGTAACATATTCCAAGAATCCAGTGCCAATTCAAAATTTTCTTCAGATTCATCTGTTGAACTTTTCAAACTTTTGTCCATCAACAAAACCAGAGGAATCATCCCATTTACTAAATATCCTTGCGTTCTCTGAAAATTACGATCCGAGTCCTTCAAACGTTTGTCAGTTTCTTTCCAAGTCCATAATACTTTATTGACCTTAGGCACTTCCAAATGATCACAATTATCAGGTCTTACGTATTTTTCTAATAGCTCTTGGACATCTTTGCTTCTATGGTCTACCGTAGACTTGGATCCTTGATTTACGATTTCGCTATTTCCTCATGCACGGGAGTCCCTAATTTTGGCTTTTTGGAAAGAACACTTTCTACTCTTTTGATCTTCTCAAACTTTGTCGGTGCAATTTCCACTTTTCTATGTTTACTCTTTGGTTCTCCTTCCTCATCTTCATTTGACGATTCAAAATCTCCTTCAGATTCTTCTTCCGATATGCTGTCATAAAAACTGTCAGCTGTATTTACATTTGGTGACCTGCTAACCCTGCTACGCGCATGCGTACTGGAAGCTGTACAAGGTGCGTGTTTGTTATTGTTTTGAATACACGCGTTTTTAATCTCTGAAACAGATTGGGTCAGAGCGTTAATTGCTCTCTGTTGTTCTAAAATAAGCTTCTGGTTATTAATCATCTGCTCCTGGTACATCCCAAGTAAATCCGGCCTATTTGTCTGGTTAGATGAAGCGGTACTTGTTGCCCCTCCTTTTTTAATTTTTCCCGAAAACATTGAAGTAGTACTATTTTTCGCCACATTTTCTGATGGAGCTCCAATAATTTGAAGAGAACCATCATCATTCACAATAACTGTTTGATTTTCAAATATATTACAATCTTCCACTTGGATAGGTTCTATCGTAAATTCCTTGTCGTGTAAAAACACGTGCCCTTGCTATTGCGGAAATCGACAAAAAAGAAATTATCTGTAATACGTTAATTTGAACCGTATTTTCAAGATATCTAGTTCCTAAAATCACATATATCCCAAATTAAATTCAATTTCCTGAAACTTCACAAGAATTAAAACCATAATTCAAATAAATTTTTCCCACAAAATAAAAATCTAATTTGCTTATGAAAGGATCAACCTCGTTCTGATTTGTGTCACGTGATCAATTGTTCACTCATGTGATTCTGGGTAGATTGGACTTACTAAATAAAGAATTAAATTAAGTCAGGAGCCTGTTGTTCAGTGGTTGTCGTTTGTTGGTGTATTTCATAGGTGTTTCTCGTTTCTAGTTTTTTAAATAGATAAGACCGTTGGTTTTCCTGTTTGAATTGTTTTACACTAGTCATTTTGGGGCCCTTTATAGCTCGCTGTTCTGTGTGAGCCAAGGCTCTGTGTTGAAGGCCGTACTTTGACCTATAATTGTTAACTTTTTATACATTATGACTTGGATGGAGAGTTCTCATTGGCACTCATACCACATCTTAATATTTATATAGTTCAGCAAAATGGACGCCACACTTAATTACGAAACATACAAATGAACCAAAATTGTATACAATAAGCTTGAATTCAAATTCCATGGAAATGCTAGTTTTCCTCAAGAAAATTGGTACCCATGAAAATAAATGAATTCACAGTATACAGTTAAACTGATAAAACACTACACTCCTCCCCAACATTGTTGGACAATATTTGAAAAGATACTGAGATGACTGGATCTTTTTTAACATGAACAGAAATATAAAAACTGTTGGCCTCTCAATACTTTTGATAAAAACAACAACAATATTTTCTGGATGTAAGCATTTTTCCCATGATAATTATATATAACATTTACTAACATGCACTCTTCAATTTCTAAAATTTTCACTGTTCGTGCTCAGCACTATCATAACCTCACAATCTAAAAGGACACACAACATGACATGTTATGGAATAATGAATGCTGCCTTATAAAAGTAACACATTATAATTTTAATAAATAAACCGATAAAGTGATGTAGGTTTTCTGTTTGAAATGCTTAACTTTATGTCACTTGAAATCTTGATAAAATCCTGACTTTTTTTTTGTAAAAGTGCATATTCAAGATATCACGTTCATTGATTTTTTTTCTGCTTTGCAAATTACTTTTCTTAAAATTATGTTTAAAGTAACAATATCAAATAAACTGAATTGGCAGTTTTCACAACACAATAATGATAATATAAAGACAAGAGCTAACCCTTAGTTGAAAAATAGAGAAAAAAGAAAGATAAAGAAACATGTTAGTCAAGATACAACAGACAAGTCTTTAAGGTAGAGATAGATAAGTCAAGATTACATCTTATGACAAATAACCATGTTTTCTGTTTGTTGTCCAAGCTGGTTTCACTTTTTCTTAATGTATTTAACTATTTAAACAAACACACAAATATTAACTCAATTGACACCTTTAATTTTGATTTGTTTTATAATGTCCCAAAATAATACATCACCTGCCCTAAAAATTAATCTCTAAAGGAAGACAATCCTTCCAATTTAAAAAAAAAAGAGATATTAGTTTTGATTTTTGTTGTTCTTGCAATGGATGCTCTGCCTCAATTATATCAATTTTTAATTATGGATCTTTGTAAATGAGTACAGAGTTGATGAACATGTTTTGCAAAGTAGTTATAAGAAATAAGTTTGTTGTATAAAAATCAATTAAATTCACTTCATTAAAATCATTAAATGCCAACCAAGATATTGCAGATCTGCTTGTACTATACAAATAGTATCAAAAGTTTTTTTGTTTTTTTTTTTACTTACTCAAATAATCTAATACCATATACATTTCAGAGTCACATAAAATTTCATAAAAATGACAGTTAGATGACAACCCTATGCAAAAATATCAAGAGTAAAAAACCATAAGCAAGTCAGAGCAAGCATCTATGTACCAACAATTGCAGACAGTGGTAAATCTATACAACAGAACTGGTAGATTTTTTACAAACTTGTTTGGGAGTTTATTAATTTCGTAGATGATATCCATCCACACAAAATAAATGAAACTAAAATTTAGAATTTCTGCTTTTACAGGTACAGATGAATTTAGATAACTTTTTGGAAACAAGTTATATAATAAAAATAAGATGTTGTTTGATTGCAAATAAAACAACTCTCCACCAGAGACCAAATAGCATAGAAGTTAATAATTATAAGTCACCATACTGCCTTCAACAACGAGCAAAACCCATACGGCATATGTTTATATATGAACATGATTTAAAATCACATATAAATACACATAAAAATATTCTTGATTCAAAAATATATTAAAATTTTCAGCAATCATGTCAAGTCACAACTAACTAGAAAACATATTGTTTAAAAATTACAAAAGCATTTCATTTCAGCAAATGCAATAATATTTAATATTTGTCGTTTAATAATTGTTCAGAATTTAGACTACATATGATATACCTGATTGAAATTATTAATCAGAGATCATAGAAGCACATATGAACAAACTTCAACAAACAACCAACCTACACCTATAAATATATTATTTTTTAAACAAATCTTTTTCATAATGACTCTTCTGCTTCCTCCCATTGTTTTTCATTCCACTGTTTCAATGGAGATCTGTTTTCTTTCTTCGATGGTGTTCCTGATTTTAATTTCATTATTTCTTGCTGATGCTTGCTCAATTGCTGCAATGAAACAAACAATTAATTACTCTAGTAAGATAAATAGTTAATTGAAACTGAAATGGCGGTCTTACAAGATGTACATTTCAAATGCCTAGTTAAACCCAATTCTTCCAATCAACATATTCAAATGAGCTTGTACTAAATCAGTAACTCCTTATTTTTATATTGCACTAAGACAGGGCTAATATAACAGTCAAATGACAGTTGTTTCCATGGGGATAGTTTTAAGAGGTATTCAAAACAATAAGGTGATACTTATACAATCTCTCATTTTAGGATAAGTCCATTTGTTATTGTCTATTCGTACAACCTAAACAGACGTTATACAGAGTTTGATCATTTTCTTTAGACTTGCCAAAACTTTGAAGACCATGCCACTAACTATTATTTTTTACTATTGATGAAAAAATTGCGATAAGCTTCAAATTCAAAGTTGTTCAGGTAATGGTACTTACAATTTTCACACAGTAAAGTTTTAACGGTTAAATTACCTTTTTTGAGGGTAATAACCATTTGTTTCTCTGCAACTGCTGCTGTCTAGTGACAGAGTGTAATGTTTTTTGCCAAAAAAAAAACAAAGTCCACTTATCAGTAAAATACAGAAAAAAAATTAAAATTTTGCACAGGAAGCTTTATAAAAATAAGAAGATGAGGTATGATTGCCAATGAGACAACTCTCAACAAGAGACCAAATGACACCGAAATTAACAACTATAGGTCACCATACGGCTTTCAACAATGAGCAAAGCCCATATCTCTGGTTTATGTTGAAGCTTTTTTCAAAGTTTTGTAAATTCCAATAAGATGTGACACAGTAATTCAAGTTTTAACATCTTTAACCATAGACTGTACCTAAATGTTATCTGCTAGGTCAAAAAATAATTCCATTTCTTAAATAAAATAAGGAAAATATTTCCAAAACTTTGCTCCCGTTGCTATTAATTTATCATGAAGAAGCTCCTGTCCAAGTTTTGTAAAATTCTGTGAATGTTTGACAAAGTTATTCATGTCTTCTAATAAACTTCTAACCACAAACTGACCCTTAATGTTAAAAGACAAGATGATAACAATCTAGGATTGCTGTCTAATCTCCATGACAGGTGAGAAAAAACAAAAAGAAACTGCTTTAAGGATCCTTAATGCTGTGGATTTATCATTTTTTTATCTAAGTAATGGATATCCTTTTCTTTGGGATTTGATCTTATGTTTTGCCTTTGCCCTAAAATACTTTTGTACTTGACATTAAACTGATGTTAAATATCAAGTATCCACTTACTTCTCTTAAGAAATTGTTTTCATCTTTTAACTTGGCTGTATAATGAATCTTCTGCTTTAAGTTCTGATGTCCTACAAGTTTTGCATTCTCCTCCAGTAATATCTTGTTTCTCTCATTCACTTCACTCATCTCCTGTAAAATTGAAGTGGAGTAAGAAATTTACATCGTGTTTTCGAAATACTGGGTTCCCTATTGTAAACCCAGAAATAAATGACCATGATAATGAAGAAGACCCAAATGACGACATTCCAATTTTGAGTTTATGAGTATCATACATTGTACGACAATGTTTCAATCATGATGAAATTTCGTTTGATAAAATTCTTGATTTTAAATCGGCTATTCCAACGTAGGAAATGAACTATGGAAGTAAAACGAAACCCTTGTTTAACAATTCAAACAACGCGAGATGTGATGGAAATGAAAACAATGAACTCAAAGTGAAAGTGAAACTGACGAGTCGGAGACTGATGCTACCGAGGTCGATTTGACATACGAGGATATGTACAAAAAAGTTAAAATATTATTTTTTTAATTCGGGGAACAACCAATGATTGAAATTTCTAAAGCCAATGAATACGAAGACTCAAAACAACGATCGTGCGTAGTTATATGGTGGAAAGGCAGGGGAAACTTTTAATGTTCATGTCCCAATATTTTCACACAAATCATGACATAACTTTTAATAAATAGATTACCACGGTATTTTTATTTATTAGTTTATACAGGTTTTACTGTATAGTAACTAAGCATGACACTTTTAAATACTTGTAATTGAAATACAGGGATGCTAATGAGTCCCATAGTTGTTAACTTCTGCCTCTTTTAGTCTCTGTAGAAGAATGGTCTCATCAACAATTATACCACATCTTCTTCTTTTTATATACATGTAAGCTATAAAATTGAGAATGGAAACGGGGAATGTGTCAAAGAGACAACAACCCGACCAAAGAGCATACCATACTTTTTTTCAAGAAACAAAAGGTTATAAATTGGAAATATTTGCAATTTCTCTGAAATTTCCTATTAAGGTGGTACATAACACTACCAGTGATAACTTTGTAAAAATTGGCAGAACGTTTTAAATGTTCTATTGTTGAGGAAATATTAAGCTTCTCAATGATAAAAATAAGTGTTTGTCAAACTGCTATATATCCAATGAAATTTTTCCGATAAAGTGTATGGTTCAAGTTATTTGAAATTTTTATATTTCTGTCAAAGGGTCAAAGTAAATATTTGTTCAAAAGTTTATGAAAGTAAAATAAGTCAATTTGGACTTTTTCAAAAGCTCTGATAAATATACACGAGGGAACAATAAAATTACATGACAGCAGTACTGTTTCATTTAAAAGGTGATGAATTTTTGTACATGTATTACATGCCAAAATATGTAAATTTTGCCAACCTTTAATGAACTCTCTTACAAGATTCTTGCATTATCATTTTTGTAATATTTTGATACAGCTTTCATTGTGCATTTTGAATATTCATAAAAAAGGGTGTGTTACAATGCTTATTCTAAAGAAAACTCTAAAATTGTCCCTGAAAACATGTTTCACAAATTAGCTATTGTTGAAGATCATATTTTAACCTCTTAATGTTTTTTGGTTTGCCTTCTCATTGACATAAACCAGTATCTTCTTTTGTTGATGCTTATCTGTGTTCTTTTCCCCAATCTTTTTGAAACCCGCCATAACAAATACAGTTTATATCTTACCTTGTCTACTTCACATAGCCTTATCTGAAGGACCTCATTTTCAGCCTTTATGTTTGACGATTCTTCCTTCATCCTACAGAAATTCAAATTAATTAGTACATATTACAATTTTTTCTATTGCATAAAATTCAACTAGAGAAATGACATTTATGCATAACCCTGCTGGGCAATACATGATACATGGAAAGATGAATTAGCTCTAATCAGACAAATGTAAGAACAAACATTTGAATCAATCTTAAATTTTGGCTGGAAACTATTCAAGCCAAACTGTTATGGACATCCACTTTTTCTGAGAAAAAAAACACGAAACTTTTGAATATCAAATGCGAAAATGTCAAAATCTAAGGGGATCAGTTTCAACAAATTTTCATTATCAAAATTGTCAAATAGAAAGGGAACTTTACTTGTCAATGGTAGGACTAGGGGACATGTGAAATCCTCAATTTTAAGTAAAAGTCATATTAAACAACTATTTTTTATTCTTCGGAAACAACAAAATAGTGAAAATCTCAACGTGGTCTTACTTTTATAAATTGGTTGATTCAAACCTGTCATGAAATGCTTAGGTAAATGTATAAAGGTAAATTCAACCTCATTAAACTATTATAAGGGCATTAACTAGTAAATGTATGCCCATTCAATTTATTCACTCTCAAATTATTTTTAATATATACTCAAACTTAATTTAGAACTACAAAAGTTCCTATTAAAGAAGACAATACACAACGGCAGTGATTGTTTTTCTCTTGATTTTTTTCTACATCTTCTTGTTTCTCTCTCTAATATGACATGCTTTTGATAAGAACTATGTAAACACATGTCATGTGTAGGTAGTCCCTACTGTTACTAGGTATCATTAGATTTGTATTTGCTTACCTTTCAAAATCACTTTCAAGTCCTCTTAGCTGTTCCTCTTTGACCATAGATTCAACAGAGAGTTTGTCCAGACTTTAAATAAAGATAAAGTAAATTACATAATACTTGGTTACAGGCGTGAAGAAAACAATATTGTTCTATTTAAATTTGCTGATATAAAATATCAAAATCTTCTTAAATTAAGGAATGTATCTCTCTCATGCAAAGCTCTGATTCCTCTGTCCAGTTTTGGCTTTACTTTTGGTCCTTTTTGGTTTTATTAGCTCTCAACGTCCGTATAAGGTTTTGGACTTTCAAATATTTTGGCCTCGAACCTCACAGAATAGACATTGTCGAAATACACATGATGCAATAAAAGTGGTATGGTTAATGTTATTGTATTATTTTGGTTTGAAAAAAAAATTTTCTCCCTCATTTTATAAATTTTAATTAAGACTTACGTGTCCCTTTTATTCTGCATTTCATACTCAAGACACTGTTTTTGATTACGGAATCCTTCAGAAAGTGATTCTATGACTTTTAACTTATTCTGAAATAAAAAAATTAAAATCATAATAATTCTTTTAATTTTATTATTTTCAAGTTCTTCATTTATATTTTTATTCAACTTTCTAATTCTTTGAACTCTCAGGACCTACACAAAATTCACTCTTATATTCATACATGATTTTTTTTTTACCACAAATAAAATGTTTAGATTCAAGGTTCTGTGGAAATATAACATTGCTGCAAGTTTTTTGACAATCAATAGGAAAAAACAATTAAAATGCAGTTATAACTTTCTTTACAACTAAGGCTAAAGAAATTCAGAACAGATCTTGCAACAATAAGTCTAATTTACGAAAATATATTTTCACATACATGCTTATTTCCTGATTACCTGTAGTTTGGCAAATGTTTGTTACCTGTAACAAGGATCTATGCTTGTTGTCAAGCAATGGGTATCATGTTTTTTTCAAAAGAGCAAACTTTTGAAAGATTAATTTAATATGTACCTTCAATTCTTCATTTTCTCTGTCCTTTTCTTCCTTGCTTTCCTGAAGTTCTTTAATTGAATGACATAAATCACTGTTGTTCTCTTTAAGTCTTTTTCAGTGTTAAGGTGATAATAAGAAATGACATAGACAAAACTAGGTAGAATTAATGCTCAAATTTTAAAGTTATTTAGTTTAATAGAACACATGTCATGCTTTTACATGTATATGACTCAAATAATTACATAAAATTAATGTTTGACAACTATGGGTGTTGTTGTCTTAAAGTTTTTAGTTTGCTATCTTGTTGAAAGACAATCACCTCCTAAGTGTTGCCCTACTACCTTTCTTTTCCAAAGTAAAGGCATTGCTTCACTTCACCCTATTACAATTATTTTTTTTCGGAAAAGTTAGCCATTTTATTTCATTAGTTTAAGCCGTACAAAAAAAAGTTCACTGATGACCTATTTACATAAAGAGGAGCATCCCCTCTTATTCAACTGGACTAACCCTCTAGCTTAATAAAAGGTACTAAGCAGTATAAACTATATTCTAATGCAATTATTTTGTATCAATGGTTCTGATTGGATGATAGTTTACTACGCGTCGCCAGGTAAACTAAATTTGCGACAGTAAAACTACCGATGGACGTCCGCAAAGCTTCAAATACAATAGTTATCTCTTAATTCACATACCACAGCAACCTTTCTAGTCTTAAAGGAATTTTTTATCAAAAAATATTTTCAAATGATAGATATTGTGCAAGATAACTGGTTTATTCTAAGTCATATGATCCTTCAAATTTGACTTATTTATATAACTGAATGGCTAATTTGTATTATAAAACACATGTTCATAGATTTCTTTTTTAAAAATAAAATCTGTTATAGATAATGCATATTTTAAGGTTTTTCTTGTCGTAGAACACACCGAGGGGTGTCAGGATTGATCAAATGAAAGACCGACCGTAGGGAGGTCTTTCTATGGGTAATCCTGACACCCCGAGGTGTGTTCTACGACAAGAAAAACCTTAAAATATGCATTATCTGACTTATATACCGTAAAAAAATATTGTTTTTTATAAAGATTTGCAAAACTTAGCATCCTATTTTACCGACCACACTAAAATGGGATATTCCTTTCTAATGCGTTCAGGTTTTAATACGCCCTACGGCTCATTTAGAATGTGAAATAAAACTCACTAATTAATATAGATATAAACCTAAGAAATTATTAACCATACACAATAAAAATATTACTGTAACTGCATGAAGTAAGACACAAATGAATTGTTACCATCTGATAACGGTGTATGAAAAATACAAGACACTTTGTAAGTAATTTATTGTACCAACTTAATTAGTTTATGGAAAAGGTGAGGTGCTATGTGTTTTTTATTTTTTTTGTAATGACATTTTATAGCGGAAAAGTGATTATTTTTTCAACAATTTTATTTAATCGAATGAAATATTCAGAATGATTTTCTTTTAAATAGCAATACATTTTTTAACAGATAATCAGGATATAATTATATACCCTCCCCCCACCCGACCTCATTGTGAGGTACGTGAATGTTATTCAATAGAATATAAGAATATTTTATTAGTTAATCATTTGATAGAGTAAAAGGTATAAATAAATGTAAAAAGGTTAAGAACTGACAGGAAGGGGGCACGCAATCGTGATACATGTACATGTTACACGAACACGAATATCAATACATGTAGATCACAGTATGATTTCCTATTCAGTGTGTATCGTCCTGAACATGCATGAAATATTTGCCACTGGACGTTAGGTAACCATCAATCAATCAACCTATTCAGTGTGAATCAATAAGATTTTCAAAATCTTACACACGAATATCTGGATTTATTTTAAAGTGTTATGAAAGTTTTACATTAAAATTCATCTCACATATGTGATAATGTCTCTGTAATGTAGCGATAAATTAACAAAACATCACATTATTTGTTTCTAAAATTAAAATTCGGGCAATGACGATATTTTTTACACCTATCATAGATTGATCTTTAAAAAATAAATTCCCAAATCGGCAACAGAAACTATCAGACGAATATATTGTTGAAGTAAATTATAGTTTGCGTTTTTATCAAGGAAAATAATGACCTCACACAGGTCATTATTTTATGACTTGGGGCATATTTCATTGAAACATGGTATCGTCCGGGTTGATTCTTTGAAAGAATGACTTATCGTTCTGAAAGAAAATAACTCCATATAGGTATATAATGCTTATTATACACATGCTAATTACCTTTCTGTGTTCATTGTGTTTATCAGGATCAAAATCGTTATACTCGAAAAGTAAATTAACAGCCATTGTTTCTATCAACACTCATGGAATGAATTGTTGTTTTGTTGATTATACATTTTTGATTGTAATAAATATATAAAACGTTCACAGAGGACTTAGATTTGAATACATGCATTGGTTAAAAAATGTCTTGAACATTATAATCACTATAAACCCGTTTCATATGACTTAAAGAACAACTAAGCAAAAAAATTACATCAAATCATTGGTTGAGTGTTTAAAAGAGGGCCCTTCAATAGTAAATGCTTTTTTTCTATGGTTTTAAATAAACCTTCTCAATTTGGTAGTCCAACATCTAAAACTATACTGAAAGTTGACTTTGTGGGTATCAATAACCCAAAGATTGCAAAATGGCCAATCGATACAATTATGTAAAGGATACCGTTCATTTTTAGAAGTCAATTCTTCTATCAGTTTACCAAATACTTCCTCACTCTCAGACTCTTTGTCAATCAACCTTTTTTCTGCATCAACTACCTGCTGTTTCAAATCAGTCACTTCATTTTCATAAGCTTCTTTATTTTCTTTTATCTGGAAAAAGTAAGTTTTAAATTATATTTATCTACTGCTGATTTGCAATCAAGATAAACTAAAAGCAATGAATTGGTGTAAAGACCTACCCAAACATAAATATGCTAAAACAAAAGCATCAGATGCTTTGGAACAGTAAGAATATCTATCCTACTACACATGTGACATCTGTCGTATTATTCCCATATAAAGCCTTCACGAGTTGATCTGTGTAACTGTCAAAATGGGTAAAAGGATGAACAATATATATGCCTTCAATTTTAACATCCAGAACTGGTAATGATCATTCAAATCCTGATGAAAGTCATAAAACTTTTGTAGCAATGATATCAGATGAGGCTGAATATAACACTGACTGAACAGTTTAAATGACATTGTTTTCTCTCAAGGAAGTCTATTTTCTGAATGCAAGCTCTGGAGAATTGATTGACTTATTGACACTTGCTTAATGTTCAGTGGCAAGTATTTCATGCATATTCAGGGCAATTTTGGGATTTCAACTAGAACTATAAAACCAGAACTATCATCTGGTATAATTTCTGGACTTATTAAATCTGTGTGTTCTGGATCTCTACAATATACCTGTACTGGTAAAAACTGATACACAAGTATACTCACTAAAGTGTTTAAAGCATCTTTTTCATCTTTCAAAGTTTCAAATTGTTTCTGAAATAAACATAAATTTAATATCAAAAATTTGTCTATCAGAGTTCAGCACCAATCAGTAACTATGACTTCAACCATTACCAGGGTATCAATTCTATTTAACATGTTTAAACAACTGCATAGTAAAATAATAACTAACATCAAGAAGGATCTTCCTTTTAGGGAATTAAATTCTTAAAATAAGCAATTTCTCATTCTGACAATAACATTTGCAAAAATTTATATCATAAATTAAGTCTCATCATAAAAGTATCTTTATTGGAACAAGTGTAAATTTGTCAGTTTTTCAAGTTTTATACCAATTGCCAAAAAAATTGAAACCATAAAGCAAATATGCAAGACAAAATTCAAAAAAATATATAATGATGTTTGACAGACAAATGTCTGATGAGCAACTGAAAGATTTTACTTGGTAAAATTATAACACTTTTTGATTTTACAATTCAAGGGGTAAAAAATGTGGAATTTATATCATACTTTTCCTTTCTAGGAAAAATTAAGCATAGCAGTGATAATGTCTCAAATCTTAGCTACTGCATCAGCAATTATTTATAGAAGATATAGAACCACTAATTTGGGCCTGGTCAGAAAGAATATACAAGAAAATAGTACATATTTTAAACAAAGTAGTTCCTACGCATAGCTGTAACTTTGTCAATAAGTAAGTAAAGTATTTTGGTATAAATTTTTAGTATCAAATGAAAGTGTAAGGACTTGGGATCACTGTAGAACCCTTTTTAAAAGTTTCTTTTGAATAATAAAAAAATTATGAAATTAAAATAGGGCATATTTGCCCTGTTGCTCAGATTAGAAGTACCTGTTTTTTGTACTACCAAACTTCTGGGAACCAGAGTGATCTAATATGCAATTAAAAATATAAGGATAAGGTATAGTTTTGATATGAAATTACTTCCACTTTATTTGAATTTAAGACAAAATAGCTATGAATGCTTGAAGTTGCAGAATCTTACATAGAAAGCAAAGGAGCTATACAAAAGTGGCCTTATTCCTAGAAAGATAGACACTTTCATTTTATCTCTAATATTCAGTCAACAGAACATGAACAATAAAGTTATAATTATTTTTTTTATCATTATTATTATAAAAATCAATATCATTAAAAATACTACCTCAAGATCATTCTTCGATTTCTGTACTTTTCTGTGTTCTTCTTCAAGTTCATTGAAATTCTTTGTCAGACAGTCAACTTGCTCATTTACATTAGACAACTAAAAATATTTTTTGAATACATATTATAAAGTTTCATAATGTAAAATCTAACCCATTTTGATATTACGTTCAATTTTGTATAAATGTCAAGTAATTTTCTTCCTACTGGTTATTTTAAATTGCATTTTACCAGGGCAAATTAAAACATAGATCTGTCAAATATTGATTTCAATATTGCTCCTTTAACCTTTCCTTAGAATTTCATCTGAGGAAACACACCAAATTTTATCCATTTGAAGAATAAAGTATTACCATTTGTCCCCAATAAGATATCCAAATGCAAGAACCACTTAATTTTTCATGAAACATTTCTCATCAAACTTAACTATAGATATCCAAAACAAGATATGATACTAACCCCTCATATTCCACATGGAATCATAAATTCATTACAAAAGAAAGTTGTATACCCTGGGTAATCAATAACTTATATGGATTAATACCTCTATTTGATGATCCTCTTCCATTGTTTTCTTTTCCTCTTCCAGATTTAACATCTGACTTTTAACATTTTTTATTTCGCTCACAAGTGACTGTATACTTTCTTCAAGACTTTTAGTTTTCTCCTGTTCAGTTTCTAAAGTGAAATTCTTCTCAAACAGACTGGTTTTCAAGTCTTTAATCTTGTCTAGATAATCACTTATCACTTCCTACAATAGTTAAAGATGGCTTCGTTTAAATTAATCTTTCAATAATAGTTTATCAATTTATTTTTCACTTTACTGACATGTTGCTACAGAAATGATTTTTCTCAAATTTTGCAGAATCGTTTTGAGATATGAATAAAAATCTCAAGGGCAAAATTCACTATAACAGGTTCAACCAGCACTAATTTTAAAATTACAGTTATTGGCAGACAAAGTGCCACTTTAGTGAAATTATAAAATAAATGTGATTAAACTTCAATTGCATTGACATACAGACAAATAGGTGTATGGACAAAATTGTTTTTATACCCCTTCTCAATCTAATAGAGCAATTATACTATCCTTAACCCAATTTAAGCCATCTTTGCATCTAACTAAACCATACTTGTATATTTAACAGCAACATCACAGTAAACACTTCTCTAAAAATGGGCCTTCCTACACAAGGTCACCTTCACTTTATTAAATAATTGTCTTTTCTTTTGAACTCAAACCTAATATAATAAACAGCTGCACCATGAGCACATGATATGCCCGTCGCTTTTTCAAAGAATAAAGTTCAATAACTTTATCTTAATAGATATAAACAGTCACCAAAGTTTCATGAAAACTGCTCAAAGCACTTTAAAGGTGTTCGAAAACTGGAAAATCACCCATTTTTTATGAATAAAATCCCAGCTCACATCAATAGATATAAACAATTCACCAAAGTTTCATACAAACTGGTTAAAGAGTTTTTGAGTTATTGTCCGACATGTTGACGATGGACGGACAGACGAAGGGACAGATAACAGTATGCCATAATACATCCCATAACGGGCGTATAAAAACAATTGTCTTTAATTAACTACAGGGATGGTTTAAGAGATAACTTCATTTCCCTTTTCCATTAGTTATTCATATCTTAAAAAGTCAAATTATCTGACTTTTATCTTTATTCCAACCAAATGATCTTATCTATATACTTATGACCCATCCCAATAATAAGACCATGAGGCGTATCTTACAAGAGTTATCAACAGTAATCTTGAACTGGTGAACATTTATCTTACTGTATTTTGTGTAAGTTGTTTCTGTTGTGTATTGGTAGTTTGCTCCAAGTTCTGTAATTCTCTCTGTAAATTACTGATTGTCTGATTATTAGCTTCATTCTGTCTTTCTTCTTCTCTTAACTGGTCTGACAAAGTAGATCTTTCTTGTTGTGATTCTTGTAATAAAGTCTGAAATAATATTTAAAATTCCAATTTGATAAGGCAAAAGTTTAAATGAGAAGCCATGTCATAATCAAGTTATAAGCCTCTAGTATATAGAATTATTCATGAGATGTAATCAAAGGTAATATCCCTTTCATTACAACATAAATTTTGTTTTAATTCTGACAAAAAGCAAGGAGCCTCAGACCTTTTAAACTGAATTTAGACTATACAAACAGCATTATAATAAGTGCATCTGCAATCTTCATGTAATATAGAAGAATTGTATCCAAATTTTGTGATGTACTAACAGTAATATCATTCCTGTAACAAACATGACTTATAATTTGAACAGAGATCCATCAGGCTTAGACATCTTAAACTGAACTAATAAGTGCCTAGTAGGAATAACAAAATTAAGTTCAAGTCAAGATAATTTGCACATATTTCTAAACTGGCTACAATAACTAGAGGCTCTAAAGAGCCTGTGTCGCTCACCTTGGTCTATGTGCATCTTAAAAACAAAGGACACAGATGGATTCATGACAAAATTGTGTTTTGGTGATGGTGATGTGTTTGTAGATCTTACTTTACTGAACTTTCTTGCTGCTTACAATTATCTCTATCTATAATGAACTTGGCCCAGTAGTTACAGTGGAAAATATTTTGTAAAAATTTACAAAAATTTACAAAATTTATGAAAATTGTAAAAAATTGACTATAAAGGGCAATGACTCCTTAAGGGGTCAATTGACAATTTTGGTCATGTTGACTTATTTGTAGATCTTACTTTGCTGTACATTATTGCTGTTTACAGTTTATTTCTATCTATAATAATATTCAAGATAATAACCAAAAGCTGCAAAATTTTCTTTAAATTACCAATTCAGGGGCAGCAACCCAACAACGTGTTGCCTGATTGGTCTGAAAATTTCAGGGCAGATAGATCTTGACCTAATGAACAATTTTATCCCCGTCAGATTTGCTCTAAATGCTTTGGTTTCAGAGATATGAGCCAAAAACTGCATTTTACCCTATATACTATTTTTTAGCCATGTCAGCCATCTTGGTTCACAGGCGGGGTCATCGAACACATTTTTTAAACTAGATACCCTACTGATGATTGTGGACAAGTTTGGTTAAATTTGGACGAGTAGTTTCAGAGGAGAAGATTTTTGTAAAAGATTACAAAAATTTACGAAAAATGGTTAAAAATTGACTATACAGGGCAATATCTCCTTAAGGGGTCAACTGACCATTTTGGTCAAGTTGACTTATTTGTAGATCTTACTTTGCTGAACATTATTGCTGTTTACAGTTAATCTCTATCTATAATAATATTCAAGATAATAACCAAAAACGGCAAAATTTCCTTAAAATTACCTATTCAGGGGCAGCAACCCAACAACGGGTTGTCCGATTCATCTGAAAATTTCAGGGCAGATAGATCTTGACTTGATAAACAATTTTACCTATGTCAGATTTGCTCTAAATGCTTTGGTTTCAGAGATATAAGCCAAAATCTACATTTTACCCCTATGTTCTATTTTTAGCCATGGCGGCCATCTTGGTTGGTTGGCCGGGTCACCGGACACATTTTTTAAACTAGATACCCCAATAATGATTGTGGCCAAGTTTGGTCAAATTTGGCCCAGTAGTTTCAGAGGAGAAGATTTTTGTAAAAGTTAACGACGACGGACGACGGACGCCATGTGATGAGAAAAGCTCACTTGGCCCTTTGGGCCAGGTGAGCTAAAAACATGGTTAATAGTAACCAAACCTTGGCATCAAGGTTAAACAAACGTTACCCATATGATATCTAGGCAAGGCACTTTTTTTTTTTTTGCACCCACCATGCATCAATTTTAATTACCTACTACCCCCACCATGCACAAAATAAAAGTGGAAAATATAACCACCATGCATAAAATTAAATACAAAAATGTTTAATTCTTAAATGTTGCAATTACTTTGAGTATTATTTAATCTGATGGATTGTATACAAAGGTAAAACTTATTATTGATATTTAATAAAGTTTCCTGCATGCAGGGTAAGATATGCTAACCAACAGGAGCAAAATATATCACTATTAGTTTTTCGCGGGAGTCCTGCTTGCATAAACTGTACTCTATCTGGGTTTTTTTATGTTTAAATGTCTGCAATGTTTGGTCTCTCTGTCATAAAACTTTTTCTCTGTGTTAGTAAAGAGTTCTTGTTCAGAGCATACATGTATATTGAAAAATTCTAGTTTGATTGGTTCATTTTTATTTTTGAGTAATCATTTTGTGAATGTTTATGGCCATAAAGCCAGCAGTCCTGATTTTTAAATCAGCAACTACTCTTGCATTGCAATGAAGCATGGAAACATAAAATGGCAGTATTATAATTTTATTTCTTTTCTCCTCTAAAATTTAGGAGGGAGGGAGCAGGATGAAAAAAGTAAAGTAAATTTGGTCTGGCCAACAAACAAAAAAAGTATGAGAAAGGTTATATTATTTGGGTTCACTTATCATACTACAGGAAAAATAATTTAATTTTGGTCCTGGGTATCCCATGATAAAAAAATTTAAATGGGCAGTGTTAAAATTCCACCCACCCTCTTTTAAAAAAAAATTGACAGGGGTTCCCCTAATGAAAGTGCTTTCAAATTCTTCACCATTCTACTTAGGCCTTCAAGAGTGGGCAAAGGAAGAAACCAGGCAAAGAGATTGGGGGTGAAGCTCTCCTTATCCTAAAAGAACTTCATCTCTCTGAAAAAGATAGGTAATCAAAACCATGTAAAAAAAATAATAAAAGAATACACACCTGGAAGTTAATTTATATTTAAATTATTTCTGAAAGCCCAGACCTTTTTTGTTGATTAACCGTTACATCTCATCCCCCCTATTTTACAAGTCGTTTTTACCCAAGAAAATATTCATCAGAACTCTAGTTCAAACCTATGAACAATTCTCTTTTTGTTTATGGTTACGTCTTTATGGTTTTCCAGGCCAAGTTCACTTGATTACCATTTTTAAAATCTTCCAAATTCCACATCAGGGGACTATAAGGAAGGGGGAAGGCAACATCCATGCTGGCAGAAGTGGGCCAAGGGAGATAACTCGAAGACGATTACAATCAGGTAGACAGAAAAATCTCCGAAATGATTAAGTCTGGCATGCAAACATCGCGACAACAGCTTCTAATTTTATCTATTTTTTGTAACACCATCATAAAACATTATTTAAAATGTTTTGATTAATATTAATGAAATAGAAACCCCACCATGCACAAAATTGAATTCAATTTATGACCCACCATGGATAATTTTCAATATGATTTTGCACCCACCAGGCATGCAAATTTAATAACACTGCCGTCCGACCCTCCCATATATTTAATTCTGGAACAGCCCTGATATAAACCTATGATACAAGTTGTATAAAAAATCTGGCAAGAATTTTACACATGGGGGAGTGCTAACAAGAATGGACATCTAGACTGACGGACAAACATGTATGCCCTGTTTTTCTATATCTCCAGCAATAAGTCGTGCAGGGGACAATAAAAGCATTAGATAGCTCTATAGAAAGTCAATTACTATGAACAACAACGGAATTGTATTGGACAATCTAGAATTGAAATAGCTAAAATCATATAAAATGTGGAATAGAATCATCTCCACATGGTACTTATACAAACTCACCTGATTCTCCCGAAGTAGGTCAGACACTTTACTCTTTTCGTTTCTTAATGTTTCTTCTAACTCAGAAATCAAACTGTCTTTAAATATTTTTTCCACTTGCAAAGTATCTACTTCTTCCTAAAAAATATTATAATGAGAAATAAATAGAATACTGTGAATAAAAGATATGGTATATTAAAACAACAATGAGACTAATACCCAATGACACACATGTTTTTTTTTTAACTTTGGAAGAGAAAGCAATATATTAATTTAGAATCTGCTACTGATATATGACTGATAGATTTTGTACATTAACATGATTAAGGTAAAAGGATGTAGATTTGATGTTGCTTTGCATCTTTAATTTTAGTTAATCATGTTTCGATGTCATATTCTAGTAGGTTATTCCAGTTTTATTGTCCAGATAATCATCATGAAACATTAACACTAGGGCCGTAACGATACACCTAAGTATTGGGTACACAGGACATTGATGTAAAAACTTATCACTCAGTATAGCATGCTCACATGAAGCGTGATACCAAATTTCAGGAAGATCTAAAAAAAAAATGCAACAAAAACAGTAGAAGTCATCTGCTTTAAAGATTTGTCTGTATCAACAAGGTGCTTTAACTTTAACATGCTGCTTAAATGTTTTGTTGACTTTCAGAGTTTTAACATTTTGTTGACTTATAAGAGTTATCTCCCTGATCTTTTATGCTCATCCTTATAGACAAAAGAATTACCTGTAATGATTCCTTTGTTTCTAATGTTGTTTCTAAATTTTTAGTTATGTTATCTAGTTCTGCTGCTAACTGGACAAGCTGAAATAATATAACAAGTATAATCAGAGATATTGAGAGGTGATCCTTGTGGTGGAGTAGAATACTGGACATCCAAGACAAGACAGTTCTATGTAGTTTTGAACAAGATTAAACAAATTAACAGTTTGTATATGCATCTACATCAAATGTAAAAAATTAGTAACATACTTAAAAATTTTTACCAACATGATGAATAAGGAGGCAAAGGCTGAATCATCTTTGAGCCAGCAACCCACAAAAAAAAATTTCAAACACAAAATCCAGTATAATGGTCTTAAGCATACACAAGAATCGAAGACATAAAATCTTCCTGTGTCTAGCTAAGAGTCTTATCTTCTTTTCCTTCATTGTGAGATCACCCGATATGATTTTTCACAGCATTTTTACTTGCCATTAGCAAAAGGCAGTTGCCTCTAGTGGAGCAGACAGTGCTTACCCTTTCAGAGCACCTGAGGTCACTCCCGTTTTTTGGTTGGTTTGTCTTGATCAATCTCAAATTGTCTCAGTAGTATTTTGTAGACTTTTGCTTGTCTTTCCGTCATATTTCTCTTGGTTATGGTGATGTCTGGTTTTATTTGACTTTTGTTTTTGATAAGCCCTTAGTATCTTCTCTATTTTATTCACAATTTGTCATCCTACACGTTATTCCGACTCCAAGCAGACCAGTCTTTGCTCTAACTCCTTTATGTCATGTTTTAAGTGAAGAAACAGCAAATACCAATTTTAAAGTCTTTGGCATGACCCTGCTGGGGTTCGAACCCACAACCTCCCGCACTCGAAGAAATATAGAGCACTAACAACCACTTACATTTCTAACATGAACCCAGACATTTACCTTGAACTTTATACAGTGTTTTTTTATTCTTTTTTTATTGAAGTATACTGTAAAACAACTTAATTTTGTAGTAACCTATTCTGAAAATTTACCATGTTTAGCCAATTTCATGGGAGTATATTTTCTTTACTACAAAAGCAAAATTACAATTTTGGAAGTAATTTATAGAGATTTATTTTCACCGTTTTGTTTTGGTGAATAAAACTAGGTTTACAATATATACCTTAGTCTCCAGTGTATTTAAATTCTTTTCATTATCCTCTTTGGTAAACTTAAGTTCCTTCTTGAGGTCATCCAGCTGCTTTTCGTTTGATGTCATCATGACATTATAATCTCTAGCTTCTTCTTTATTCACTGATTAAAAAAGAAAACATTTTCGTGTATATAAATTATAACAGAGATTAACTTCCATGAGCATGATCATTCAAAGCATTCTTTCTCTAAGTAACTTGGCATTCTTAAATTTTGCAATATCACTTAAAAGAACTTGAAAATCACCACTCCAGAAAATAAATGGATGGACACATTCGATGCCCCTGTTTGCATATAACATTATAAAGGGACATAACTAGAGAACTGTAAAAGTAACGTCACCCAATTTTTTCCATTTATGAAGGGCATAACTCCAGAATGGTGGTAAAAGTGACACCACCCAAATTCGAACTTGATGTGAGTTTTATGGTAATAAGCATTGTGTATAAGTTGCATAACATTTGGTTGAGGCAAACTAAAGTTAGAGATTTTGTTGGGATAAGACTCCTGGTGTTTGTTTAACCCAGGTTAAATTACTGAAGAACATTTCCTTTTTGTTCTGCCACAATAGTTCAGTATAGAAAGGTTTGTTTACAGAGGTTTAATTACTGAATAATATTTTCTTTTAGTTCTGACTCGGCATTTAGTATAGACAGGTTTTTAGTTTACACACGGTTCAGTTTAGACAGGTTTTCAGTTTACACACTGTTCAGTTTAGACAGGTTTTCAGTTTACACACTGTTCAGTTTAGACAGTTTTTCAGTTTACACACTGTTCAGTTTAGACAGGTTTCCAGTTTACACAGGATTTAGTTTTAATAGACAGATTTCCAGTTTTTACACAAGGTTTAGTTTACACAGTTTAAGTTCAAGAGTAAGCGGTTATGAGTGAAAAGGATCACAAAGTTAACAAAGTTTGGATTGTGACAAATGATTGAATTTTCAGAAAGCAAATAAGACCGATTAAATTGTTCATGGATAAAAAAGTCAGACACCCCATATACCTTTTTTTTTTACATAGCCAAATGTATTTAATATAGTGTTTGAAAATTGTAAAGACTTTTATAAGTACTGAAAATTAAAATCAAAATTTGAAGACCAATATATACAAACTGTCTAGTATCTTGTAAAATAATAATAGTGCATATGCACTTACTTCTGGCCTCTTCTTGAGATTCTAGTAGCTGTTTCTGTAGTACAATCACCTGTTTTTCTGATGACTCAGCTCTTGAGGCTAGGTCTGCTCTTTCTCTATCTAATATCTGGTAATAAAAATCAGTTTAATTAATAAGAATTCACATATATAAAGGAAAAGTTGTGGTGAATTGACACTTACAACAGGAAAAGACTTCAATATTCATTATTATTTAGTTTTCCCTCTGCATGTATCAACCTGCTCACTCCTAAAAAAAAATCCCATATAGCTATTTGGTTATGTTAATTGTGTATAACAAAAAAAAAATTTTTGATGATGATATTTAAACTATAAAATGATGATATTTAAACTAAAAATGGATAATCAGATTTTCATAATATTGATAATTTATGAAATAATATAACCGGAATTGCAAAACAATCAGTACAACAGACAACATCAGACTCCAACACATGTAGGATCTTAATAAGTCCTGGGAAAGAAACATATAGGACATATATATCTTTAAGGGTATTGTCAACTCAGTAGTCATTGCTTTTATCATGTTTATAAGTACAATGTACTCACATAATTTAAAACAAATCTTTCTAAAACACTCCTTTGAAAAATTTAGAAAAGTTATTAAGAAACTAAGGTTCCAACTCCTAAAGGTTGACCGTAGGTATATTTTGCTTTTCTTTGTAGGTCTTCTTCACAATATTGACATTGTAATATAATTGCATACTAGGGTAATATCAATTTCAGTGCATACAACACATGTTTCTGGACTACTTTCATCAGGTAGGTATGTAACTCAAAGTTTGGAAAGCCAAAAATATAAAATATTTGAGAGCATCCAAAACCACAAGGCCAAAATCAGAACAGTCAAATCCAATCTGCATTCTATTTTGCCTGAGTGACTTGCAACCTGTAAAGATAATTGGGTTTTCTACATTTTGATATCGTAAAAATATCAGCCGCAAGCTACAATGTGAACCTTCTAGGCAAGTGACACAGCGAATGAGCTAAAAAGCTAAACATTGTGTTGAGCAGCTGATATTTAACAATATCTATATGTAGAAAACCTGATAATCTGTTTATTGTTCTATTACTGGTCCTGTCCCCTCTCTAAGATAGTTTTACAATTGACAAAAGAAATCTTGATAACATCTCCTCACATATTATGACATAGCTGATAACTTTTCCTCAAACATTGTGACATCACTGATAATGCCTGTTCATGCCTCAAAGCCGTGATACAAGAATTAAAGAGAAACTAATCAGGGTGATATAGGCGAAGGGAAGGACAATATCAATTAATATCAATACCCAGACCTGAAAATCAATACATATACATAATCATTCCAATATATTTTCAAAACAAATCGTTAATTCCAAAGAATCATGTTCTTTAGCCAGTTTTATAATTTGACCTATGATAATGTAAAAATTAACTCCAGGATTCATGAAAAGGGTCAAAATAATCTTTATCTTATTACATGTATTAGCAATAATTCAAAAACCAATTCAACACAGAGTGATATTTAGAAGTACAACAATTTTTTTTCAGCTAGACCAATATTGAATTGAACTGGATTAAATTCAAACAAATCCTTCAAATTAAAAGCAGTTTTCAGGACTCTTTCACATCTATACACTTCACAAATTTTAAGAAATTAAAGTTCAACACAAATTTTAAGAAATTAAAGTTCAAGGATAATTTAAAAGAGAACCACCTACAATTCCAGTAAAAGCAGCAATACTTTCATGTTTATCAATCTCTATACCTCATTTAACTGTCCATTTTGATGATCTACTTTAGATATATGTTGCCTTAATTGGATAGCCTCTGTCTCAAACTCAGCAATTCTTTCCGATAAACTATTATTTTTGTCCTGCAATATAAATTCATAAAATTGATTAGACAATAATGCAGCTTGTAACTTATGCAAATATTTCCAAATTCTGATCAATTATTCTCTGAGGTGACTTTGGGAGCAAAACATGTAATCAGACAAGGTAGATATATTGCCCCTAAATATGTGATGACATTAATATCATTTTGATTGATATACTGAATGTGATTGATTTACCATGGATTAATTTTGATTCATGGGGTACTAGTTATATAGATTTATTGGCAAACTACGAGTTTAACTATTTGAAGCATTACAAATTCCTAGATTATTTATATGGAAAATGTGTTAAAACCCATAAATCAAATGCCCACAAGATTAAAACTCCAGAAAAATTGGATCCCATCAAAAGTTAAGGCAGACACAGACTTAACTTAGCCAAACCCATTTACTAATATTTACAGTGATAATGTCGCTCCGAAAATGCAAAAAGAATCCCAGTTTCTATATATATCCCAGTCTACTGACATGTTAATAATTCATCATGATAGAATGTGTTGCCAAATGTTTCCCTCCACCCACATATGAAAGATATATCCACCAGTACAGGTTCAAAATCATATAAGATGCAACTAATCTATAAATATTGTATAAGAAAGAGAGAATTTGTTGATGTGTAACTTTCTGAATATACAGACATCATTTTATGATGCATTATACTATTATTGTGTGTCCTGATTCACCTAAATTTAACTGTATACAAAAATGTGGAAATATTTCATTATTTATAAATCTTTATTAAATTGAACATTTTTTTTTTTCATACACAGCTACTTTTGCATAGGTACTATTTCTGTACCAAAAATCTGTAGTACTGGAAATCTACTTTGAATATTCAGTACTATATTGTTACTTTAAAATTATTGTAATATTTAGGTACCTGTATTTAACAGTACTTGATTTGCACTTGAAATTTTAGTACTACAGATTTTTGGTTACACCGTTACATTTTCAGCATTTTGAAAGTTTGTCTAGTTCAAATCTCTTAAAATTAAGCTTTTCAAACATGGAATATTGCGATCACTGGTGGTATTACTTATGTGCCAAAATTTTTAGTACAAATCAAGTACTGTAAAATACAGGTACCTAAATATTACAATAATTTTAAAGTAAAGAAATAGTACTAAATATTTAAAGTAAATTTCCAGTACTGCAGATTTTTAGTACAGAAATAGTACCTATGCAAAAGTAGCAGTGTATCCACAGTACAGGTTCAAAATCATATGAGATGCACCAAATTTATTTATTGTTGTATAAGAAAGAGTGAATTTATTGATGTGTTCTAAACATACAGACATCATTTTTTGATTTTTTACGAATTACACTCTTATCATGTATCCTGTTTCACCTCAATTTAACTGTATACAAAAATGTGGAACATACTTTATTATCAAATATTTCTGTATCTAAATTTTTGTTATTTAACTGTATTCAAATACCTGTAAAATTTTCATTTCATCCATTAAAGCCTGGTGGGCTTGTTCCATCATAAAATCTGGTTGTGTTTCATCAAAAATATCCTCGTCTTTTTCAAATGGTATAGAATCATTTAAACTTGGTGTATTGGATCCTGTTGATGGTGCAACAATCACTCTGTTACGTAAAGTATATGCTGCTTTTTTTGGTGTTGTTATTTGCTACAAAAAATTGAACGAAAAATATTTTTCTACTATTGCAGACCTTGGATCTATACATGCTAGAGTAATTAATTACATTTCAATTACATCTGATTTTTTCAATCAAATAACAATTACGATATATTAATTATTCAAATATAACAAGCATTCTGAGAATATTGCATGGCAAAACATAGTCCCCTACCGGTTGAAAATTCATTGTCCTGGAACAAAATGCTAAGGTAATTGTAATATTTTCTATATTAAAAAACAACAACAAAAAAAGTCCAAATATCTCCTGGCGTAAATATTGAACATTTAATCTGTTTATACTAAAATATATGAAAAGTTTTTCTTGTGACTAAAGTTTCACTAAAGGAGTTATCTCTACAAGATTATTAGACAGATCGAGGACCATAACTCTGCAAAACTCATCCAAACAGAACAAAATTCAAAATGGATCTGTAACTTGTCATGGTTAAACTATAACCGAATAGCAAATCAATATCTTCAAGCATGACAAAAAAAGTGTGGAAAACTGATTACTTGTGTGTATTTTCTAAGTCCAAGGACCATAACTCTACAAAATAAAATGCTCCGCTGAGCGCAGCTTGATACGACCGCAGAGGTCGAACCCTGAACAGTTGGGGCAGGTATGGACACAACATTCAAGCTTGATACAGCACTGAATTTGGATTGTGATTAAATATTTGACACAGCACAGGTTTCTGACACAGAATGAATGTGGTCTAAGAACTTAAAATTTTTTAATTTACCTATTCAAACCATATCATTATTATTTGCTTTTATATATAAATCAGAAATAACCAATTTAAAATGGAAAATTTTAAAGAAAAAAAATCCCCCCCCCCCCCCCAATTTTTTGAACCCCCTTATGATTCATCACCCCCAAACTCAATCCCAGCCTTCCCTTTGTGGTATGGTACCTTGCAATACAATTTCAGAGAGATCCATACACTTGAACACAAGTTATTGTCTGGAAACTAGAAAAATGCTTGTTTCTTGGCCCCTTTTTGGCCCCAAATTCCTAAACGTTTAGGGCAATTGCCCCCAAACTCAAACCCAGCTTTCCCTTTGTGATATGGAACCTTGTAGTACAATTTCATAAAGATCCATACACTTACACACAAGTTATTGTCCTGAAACTAGAAAAATGCTTGTTTTTTGCCCCTTTTTTGGCCCAGAATTCCTAAAATTTTGAAGCAATTTCCCCCAAAAATCAATCCCAGCCTTCCCTTTGAGGTATGGTACCTTGCAGTACAATTTCAGAGAGATCCATATACTTGAACACAAGTTATTGTCTGGAAACTAGAAAAATGCTTATTTTTGGCCCCTTATTCCTAAACGTTTTGGGCAATTACCCCCAAACTCAATTCCAGCTTTCCCTTTGTGATATGCAACCTTGTAGTACAATTTCAGAAAGATCCATACACTTACACACAAGTTATTGTCATGAAACTAGAAAAATGCTTGCTTTTTGCCCCTTTTTTGGCCCCTAATTCCTAATATTTTGAGGCAATTACCCCCAAAATCAATCCCAGCATTCCCTGTGTGATATGGAACCTTGTGGTACAATGTAAGAGAGATCCATACACTAACACACAAGTTATGTCTGGAAGTTACAAAAATGCTTATTTTTGGCCCCTTTTTGGCCCCTAATTCCTTAACTGTTGGTACCATAACCCCCAAAATCAATCCCAACCTTCCTTTTGTGGTATTGAACCTTATGGTAAAATTTCATAGAGATCCATTCACTTAAACTAAAGTTATTGTGCTAAAACCAATGTGTCTTCAGACGACGACGACGACGACGCCAACGTCATACCAATATACCAAAAAAATTAACTGAACGGAACAAAATTCGAACTTGATCTAGAACTTGTATGGTTAAGCTATAAAACAAAGATCAGATTTATATCTTGAATACCGTATAAACTCGCCTAATAGTCGATCCTACTATAAGTCGGGTGCCCTTTTCAGCTCCAAATTCTAAGGATTTAGTCTTGACCCTCGTATAAGTCGGACAAAATTTGGGCATTTTTTTTTTCAGCTGACAGTAACTGAACGCCGGTAAAACCAATGCAAATCCAGGAATAATATTCATTTCTGCATTAATGTTTGTTTGGTTTGAATTTAGTTGATGCTCATCATGATAATTTATATTGCTGTTAATAATAAAGATGTAATCATTTCTCTTGTTTTGTTCACTGTTCAAATGTTTGATTAGCCATGTGTTGTTTACTAAATGCATCAATGATTTTGTAGGGTATGACTAACAACCTATTGTTTGAGAAAAGCGTATATAAACCAATATGAACCTGAAAAATTTAAAGTCAATCAACACTTGATGAAAATATTTTTCACAGCATACATAACTTGGTGTTAAATGAGCATGTACACTTCATAATTCTTATTATATTGTGATGATTAAAGGATTAAAAAAATTAAGTGAAGCTAATCAATATATTTAAATAACTAACTCCAACTCATTAGTGTCATCTGTTTACCTATCACTGATAGTTTTCACACCTTTAGTAAATACAACTCTTTGTCTCTTAATTGGGGTTATATTGGATTATATTGGCTTGTCAATCAATTTTGTAATTTTTGTTTACCTGAGACACTTTAATGAATAATATTTTGATTTTGGGAATGAATCTTAGAATTATTTTTTTATTATTATATGATTTATAAGCATTGAATTGATATCATGATATCACAATAATGACACAATAACTCCGCTGAAAACATCCTTTCACATATTTGGTACATTGTTATCTCCTTTTCATTTTTGGTTCTTGGCTCTTCTTTGGGGTTTTTAGGAAAACCATGTGACCATGAAAATCAATACACAAACCGGAAACAGTAGAATTTCAACACGAATTTGCAGAAAATGTTTACCAAAGAACAAATAAAACACAAAGACAGTATTGTAGTCATTTATTTTCAACAAAAACTTTTTATTTATTGATTTATGTAGGTTTGGCAATCAAAAACGTAGTTTTGACCAGGAAATTCACTCCTGACCACTTTTCTCAAGCTTGGATTTTTCCTCTGGTCGCTAGATCTCGTCTATTAGTCGGTCCCCCTCTCTGGATTATGAATTTTACTCCCAATTTACCGACTAATAAGCGAGTAGGAACGGTAATCTTCAAGCATGACGAAAATAAAAAGAAGAATGTGTCTGAGGACACCAATGCCCCCTCTCAAGCTTTGCAACAAAAATGGGACAGACGGACGGAAAGACGGAAGGACGGACAGTCAAAGCTAACACTTAATGCCCCTGTTGCCTATGGCGGGGGCATAAAAAGTATGGAAAACTGATTACTTGCTTGAAGTCTGAGGACCATAACTCTGCAAAAATATCATCCAAACCAAACAAAATTCGAACTGGATCTGTAACTGTTCATGGTAAAACTATATGCCAAATATCATATCAATATCTTCAAGCATGACAAAAAAAGTGTGCAAAACTGATTACTTGCATGATTTTTTTAAGTTCAAGGACCATAACTCTGCACAAAATCATCAGACCAGAACAAAATTCAAATTGATCTGTAATTGGTCATGACCAATATTAAATCAATGTTTTCAAGCACAAAGAAAAAGTGTGGAAAACTGATTTGTAAGACTGACAGACAGACAGGCTGACAGACAGAAAGCTTAAGACAGACGGATGGAGTGCAAATCTAAAGTTCCCTTCAGCTTTGCTGGTAGGGGACTAATTAATTACATTTTCAATTCTATTAATTATATCTCAGTTACTTTTGTCCCATATTATATTAAAGAACTATATCATATATGATAAAAATACAAACCAGCTAGTACAAAACATTTATAAGTGCAATAGCCTCTTAAAACATTTAAACATTTGAATAAGCCTTGTCTACAAATTTTCATATTTAATTGTTTCTTAAAATCATCATTAGATGCCATAATCTAATATATATATCAATATGTTAATTCATTAATTAGTTTGCAAGGGAATTTGTGTTCCTATACTGTTCCATAATTCAAAATCTGTATTTTCCAATTATATGTTGTTTTCGACTGACACAATTTAAACAAGAGTTATTTCCCTTTTGTTGTCATGTTGGAGGTCAACATCCACATTTCCTGAATAAATCATCCAAAATCAACTTATTATAGGGGTTGTTCTTTAAACAATATTAATTTCTTTAAGCTTTGCATAATTTATCCTTACGATCTAGTAAGGATCTCTTCTCAGACTTATTTGTACCACATTTCTCAATTTGGTATTCAAGTCAAAGAAGAAAAATTCCCAGTTACACCTACAACATTGCTGCCGAGGGAAAATGGGAAATAACTCAAACTCAAATTAAGTCACATCCAAAAACTATCAACATGTTGTGAGTATGTCCTGTGTCTAATCACCCCATATCATTTATCTTTATTTTACATTTCTAGTTGTTTGTTTTACACTGGATGCCATTGTTGTATGTTTCCACTCTGCTGAATACAGAATTTGGTAGAAAAACTTTGAATTGTACTCACATCAATAGATTTTAACATGCAGACATGAAAATTTAGAACTGTATATTGCCTTAGGTATAATAATCAAGGGACATTCTTTTACTTGTCAAATGAGTTAATGGAAAAGACAGCTCCTAAGGCTATTTAACATGTATATGTAAGAGAATGATAATCCCTTTCTTCATGAATAAGTACGAGCGTTAGCGAGTACTTATCATGAAGTAAGGGATTATCATTCTCTTACAAACTTAGAATATTGTAAAGTGCTCAAGGCTCAAATGATCTATTCAAGAATTAGTTTCATTGTCAGTGCAATGTTTATAATTGATGCATGACTTCCTTTTTCGGCATGTCATTTATGGATAAGTTTTAGTGATTTGAGGACTTTCTTATCATTTGCGAAATATTAAAAAAAAAAATGCGTTATTGATATTAGGTGACACAACAGTAGAAAGAAATTGTAGGAATTGTATGTTTCCTGATTGTGAGTATGAATGTAAATCATGTAATATTTTAGTGAGGAATTATCCTGTTTTATTTACAGTTTAAATCAATTAATACATTAGAGTTACAACTAAATTTTATTTCACAGCCAATAATTTGGTCCGGCTTTTTACATCAAATACTGTTTCATTATGTCAGGGAAATGCTCAAAAATAATGCCCTTAAAAGTTTTTAATATGTTTAAAATTTAATTCCTGGTTTTTTTATCGGAATAATTGTATTGGAAATAACTATTCTCCCCAACCGCTGATCAAGTAATCAAAGTTTTGGAAAGCTAAAAGATTTAGTTATTTTTTATCTGAAAGATTTTTTTTCTTTTTTTTTTGCATTGCATTGGTATTGTTTAATTTTATAGTAATTTGAAGTTATTAATATTTTCATAATAAAATTCACGGTACCAATTTTTTGCTGCACCAGTAATTTAACTTCAACTTATTTTGGGGTTTTTTGTTTGTTTCACAATTCAACTTTTAGTCAGTTTCAATCATTGTGTGATAAATCCTTTCAATCTGATAAATGTGCTTCTGGGTAGTTGTAACTCATTTATAGAAACTCTTTGTTTTGAACTGTAAATAGACCCAAATAATAGGATAATCCCTTACTAAGAACATGATTTACATTCATTCTTCACAATTAAGAGGCATCCAATTCTACAATTTCATTGGTCGAGAGTACTTTGCTATATTCTAAGATTTATAGTGATCAAGGCTAAAATTAACCTCTTGATTGATTTTATTCAAGAACTGATTTCATGTTCAGTGTAATGTATCTAATTCTTGCAGGTTTTCATTTTAAAGCATTATAGTCATGGACTAGTCTTAGCGACATAAGGATTTCTCACAGTTTGGGAAATTTTTAATATCAAAATTGTGTTTTGGACATAAAATGACATTACATTTCGATAGGAATTGTGAAAATTTCCCAATTGTGAGTATGGATGCAAATCATGTATTCCTATAGTGAGGACTTACCTTATTGTTTTACTTACAGTTCAAATCAATGAAAATTTTACAACTCTTATTTTATTCCTCAATACAAATGCTTCCCTTTACATCAAATATTATTTGATATGTGAGGTAAAATTAAAATATTCATTTCAAAATGAAATTTAAGAAATTTTCTGCCTTAATAAAATTCAAAAGTAAGGTTTACTTTCTGCTTTCATTGTATAGGAATATTTGGTACTTTTACAAACCACGGATTTAGTAATTTGAGATTGGGTAAGGCTATTAGCTAAATATTCAGGCTATATGATAAATTTTTGTCCTTTTTTATATTGTTTTATATTTAGTCATATTAAATTTAGCAGTCTTGAAGTTATTGATATAAACTTTCACTTCAACCCATTGTGATTTTTTGTTTTTTCAAAATTCATCTTTTATGATGTGAAATCCAGTAACCTGATAAATTTGCTACAGGGCAGCTATTGTAAAATGGGCAACTTTTTATTGAATAAACTACACAGAGAACAATAGCTATTGTATTTATTCAATGGGACAATAGAACTGACAAAAGTTTAAATAGGTTGACCAATATGAGATGACTCTGGAAAGGTTTCATTTGGCTCGCAATAATTCTTTGACTAAAAACTCTGGAAATTATGGCTAGAAATTGTATAACTAAGAAAAATAGATAAGATATATAACTGACATAAATGAAATTTGGATTTTAAATAATTTATTTTTGAAGATTTATAGAACTGAAATGGGCTATACTGATTTTCAAGTATTTGGATTGACTGACCAGGGATTTAACTCCAACCTACTACACTCTAGGAAAGCATGCTACCACAACATCAACATGGTGGTTCTATCAAGACAAGGAAACCACAAAATTAAACAATGGAAATTAAGTCATATATAACTTACTGTGATTGTCTGTAAGTGTATATCGTTCATATTTTCTCTCTCTATCTTATTGGTCAGTTTTTGAGTTTTTAGACTGGAACTTAGGTCTTTCACAGTTGACTTCAATGATTCTATCTCAGAATTCAATTCCACTTTCTCTTTTTCAGCTGCATCAGCATTTTCTGTTAGCTGTTGTTTCAGCTGAAATGAATTAATGAACATCAACAGTAACCTTCAACATATATTTGTAATTTTACAACATATAAATAAAGAGCAACACAAGGACAGCATTATACAACTGAAAAAAGTGTAAAAAACACTCAGTGTCACCCATCAATAATGTTAAATATTCAAAATAAAAAGTGTGTAATGTTTTAATTCAATTCTAACAGAAATGTGTATAATGAGTAGTTTTAAAGACTTTTTCAATGTAGTTTGTTGTTTTGGGGTTTGGTTTTCTAACAACATTCTGGTTGCAACACAGCATTGTCACTCATTTGTCTGATGGCAGGTAAATTTCCTACAGCAGCCTGCTGAGTGAAGAAAGGTTATTTCTATGACAGTAAATGATTTCAATTGAAATTAATAGTTTGTATCAAGTAAAATCTTACCTTAGCTACTTCCTCTTGTAGATTATTAACCTGACTTTTGTATTTCTCAACTGTTGCAGTAGCTACATTTTCTTCTTTAGGAGTCTGTGATGGTGTGAATATTTTCTTGTCTATAAAGTATAAAATGCAAAAACAATCAACAAATACACTGGTATCAAAATAGATATGCATGATATCTTTGGGAGAACCAAGTACTGAATTATCCAAAATATTACATTGTTTACAATTATTTTTAAAATGTTCAAAATGGCTGATCATGTCCAGAAAATTATTGTTAGAATGTATCCAGATTCTCATTGAACTTATTTGTGAGAACTTTTTATCCTGCTAAAAATGTAGAGCAAGCAATTTATTTTTTCATTTTTTATAAAATATAGGTCATTTTCCAAAAATATGACCAAGAAATTTTTATTATAAACATGGCGTTTTATAACAGTATTATTGTTGGAGTAAACTTAAAAAAAATGTCTGGTAAAAACCAACAACCCAATAACTTAGAGTAGTTTAAGACATGTTCACAAATGACAATAGAAAGTTTCACAACCTTAATACCACATGTATATATTAACAGGCTATCTAGACCTCAATACTATTAAGAATGCCCACTAATGAGAATGAATGAGGGGCTAGTAACAAAAGAAGCTCAAGAGAAGAAGCTCATTCTCACCTTGTGTTAATTCCTTATATTTTCCATCTAATTCAATCAATAAGTCTGCCTTATTTCTGTTAGTGTTATCATTCTGAGCTCTCTCATTTTTAAGTTGAGATTTAAGGGCCTGAATTTCCATGGAGTATTTGGCTACCATTGGATGTTGTTTAACTTGTTCCTGCAGTAAGCTTATCTCTGCTTTCAAGTCTTCCTAAACAACATATCAAAATAATGTAAAGGCTCTAAATCTGTCAAAATTCATTGTATATTGTATAATAACGACAAAAATGTATTTAAGAAATGCTTTTAAATTTTTTACTTCAAAACAGTACGTAATTTATTTTTCCAATAAATATTGCAGTAAATTTCTTAAAATAATACTTTGAAATATATACAGGTTGTAGAATATGAGCATTTTATTTTTACATGTGAATCATTGTGGAATTGTAAAGATATATATTAACAAGAGTGCACACGCTGAAATGTCTCGCCTTCTTTACTAATCATTGATATTATGTTGATAGTCCTAAATATAAAGCTTTATTACAACTGTCACATAAACTTAACATTAACCAAGTAAACTAAACATTGACCAATGAACCATGAAAATGAGGTCAAGGTCAGATGAACCATGCTAGGCAGGCATGTACAGCTAACAATTCTTCCATACAACAAATATAGTTGACCTATTGCTTATAGTTTAAGAAAAACAGACGAAAACACAAAAACTTAACACTGAGCAATGAACCTTGAAAATGAGGTCAAGGTCAAATAAAACCTGCGTGACTGACATATAGATCATAAAATATTTCCATACACCAAATATAGTTGAACTATTGCATATAGTATTAGAAAAAAAGACCAAAACTCAAAAACTTAACTTTGACCACTGAACCATGAAAATGAGGTCAAGGTAAGATGACACCTGCCAGCTAGACATGTACACCTTACAATCATTCCATACACCAAATATAGCTGACCAATTGCATGCAGTATTAGAAAGAAAGACCAAAACTCAAAAACTTAACTTTGACCACTGAACCATGAAAATGAGGTCAAGGTCAGATGACACCTGCCAGCTAGACATGTACACCTTACAATCATTCCATACACCAAATATAGTAGACCTATTGCATACAGTATAAGAAAAACAGACCAAAACACAAAAACTTAACTATAACCACTGAACCATGAAAATGAGGTCAAGGTCAGATGACACCTGCCAGTTGGACATGTACACCTTACAGTCCTTCCATACACCGAATATACTAGACCTATTGCTTATAGTATCTGAGATATGGACTTGACCACGAAAACTTAACCTTGTTCACTGATCCATGAAATGAGGTCGAGGTCAAGTGAAAACTGTCTGACGGGCATGAGGACCTTGCAAGGTACGCACATACCAAATATAGTTATCCTATTACTTATAATAAGAGAGAATTTAACATTACAAAAAATCTGAACTTTTTTTTCAAGTAGTCACTGAACCATGAAAATGAGGTCAAGGACATTGGACATGTGACTGACAGAAACTTCGTAACATGAGGCATCCATATACAAAGTATGAAGCATCCAGGTCTTCCATCTTCTAAAATATAAAGCTTTTATGAAGTTAGCTAACGCCGCCGCCGCCGCCGCCGCCGGATCGCTATCCCTATGTCGAGCTTTCTGCGACAAAAGTCGCAGGCTCGACAAAAATTGTATTTCAGTATTTTTCTAAATGTTTTATTAGTTTAAAACTTTAATATTTTCTGAGATATTTTTGTACAAGAATATTTGTCTTTACAGCTTGAATTGATGTTCTGAAGACATATTAATTCTAAATGTAAGCTTAAGCATGAAGTATTTGCAAAAACGATATACAAGTTGACAAATTAATAGCACATTTATTCAACACTTAATTTCTTCTAGACAAAAACATACAGCATATTTGTCTTTGTCATCTGATTGAAGTCCATTCTTCTTTAATGCAGATTCCAGCTGCGAGATCCGATTCTCTCTAAATTTGACAACCATTTTTGTCGACTGAAGGCAGGCATCTTTCTTATTGCACTGATCTCTTAATTTTATCAATTTTTCTTCAAAAATCTATAAAAATAGGTATTAAAATCATTTAGTTTCTTCAGAAATATATTTTTCTTATAAAAATAATCATATAAAAACTTTCTAAAAACAGAAAAATAGAAGAGTCATTACAACTACATTTTTGTTTAACCTATATGGCATATAGTTCTTTAGCAATATTAATCATATACATATTCTTATGAGAATAAGACCAATACCAGACCTGTACCTGAGTCTTTGCATGCAACTGATTGTGGTAACATGTATACCAGAGCGTATCTAATCATTCCCACACCAAATATTAAAATCATTACAGCCGATTGCATTGAGTGTGTAGATAAGGGTAATATCTTTGGTTAGCTTGCTTGCTAGCTGAACCGTGAAGTCATTATTAGGTAAGGTATACTACCCTCCTTTCGAAGTAGCCTAGTCCTACAGACAGATAGATTGGTTATCTGTCGGACTAGTCTACTCTTAAAGGAGGGTAGTTTACCTAACCTAATAAAGACTTCATGGTTCAGCTAGCAAGCAAGCTAGTCAAAGATATTACCTTTACCTACACACTCAATGCAATCGGCTGTAACTTCAATAGGAGACAAGAAAAGTTTGACAAAAATTTTCCCTGTACAATGTGTATTGTAAAATTTCAAACTATCCACAAACAGGAAGTGGCTACACGGCAGATGTAAAAATTGCTTACTCCCTACAATACAACATTATCAAGCTGCAGACCCAATATTAAATCATTCCCTTTCATAGAAGCCAAGAAAGCTGTTAACAAAAGTTTTCTTTCTGACAAACGGAGAGACGGAGTTGAACGATTACTAAATTTGCTTCCGCCTTCCGTGACGCAGATAAAAAGAAATAATTCATCAGGAAGTTCACATAAATAGATAACATTGTGGCTACACTTTTATTGTTCTATTTGTTTTAAAAACTAAATTTCCTGTCTGCAGAATTTGTCAATAACAGTGAAATCAGGTTTCATAAAAATACAATTTTTCCTCCATCAATAAAAAATTGGAGACCTCTAAAGTAATCAAATTAACAGTATGCAGTGTGTGTGTGTGCGTGTGTGAGGGGGAGGGGGGCTTTATAAAATTTTCTATGGTGTTAATAGACCTTCATAAATTTTTGTCAGAGTTCTGACATTACAAATCAAATGAATCATTGTTGTAATATCTTAAATGTTATCATTATTAGTTTACCATTTTTTCCTGAGCACAGTTTTCCCTGAGTAACATTGCTTGTATAAATCTTTCTTTCCATTCAGAATCACTAACAGAACTTGTGTTGTCAGATTCCTGCTGTATTCCTGCTTTGATAAAATATGAATAATTAATATGAAATATCAGAAAACCTAGTTTATGACCAACTGCAATATTCTTTTACAGAAAAAAAAAATTGAAGTTGATCTGTGTTTCGTGGTAATAAGCATTGTGTATAAGTTTCATAACATTTGGTTGAGGAAAACTAAAGTTAGAGAACAGAAACCAATTTCCAAACTTACGTAGGGACGGACGGATGGACAAAGGCAACACTTAATGCCCCTTCCAAAAACACAAAAAGTTATCTTTCTATGCAAGCAGAAAACAAAAGTTCTGTACAAAATGAATCACTTCATCGAAATAAAATACCTGTCATGGAAGGTTCCATTTTAATCGTCCCTGATGTATATTGCTGTAACATCTCTTTTAGTTTCCTGATCTCTATTTGTAATGCCATCACATTTCCTTGGGAATCCTCATTGATCACAGCCTTACAAAAATAGAAAGATCAGGATCTTTATTTATTTCTTGATAGTGACCCATATATCTGGACATAATTGTGTATATTTTTTAAAGATAATATGGTGATTTTTTCACTTTGATAAAACTTCTCATATGTGCACTCCTTCTTGTGTTCCATTTTATTCAATTTGTTTATCAAAATTGTTATGCCAACCATCCAAATCATATGCCCTATTCATAGTAATTTCCGGTCAAGTTCTCTAACATTTTTCTGAATGTCCCCAATTGTTGTCTAAACGTTTGTATTGCTACTGTACTTTGCATAAAATGTATAATCAAATGAGTTTTTCATTTTTATTTTATAAGGATATAGTGTTGTTAAAAGGCAATGCTTTATATGATTGAAGATAGTTCCTTGAAATACTAATGACCAATTATATCTTATTAACAGATTTAAATCCATGAGCCAATACATCATATAAGAAAAGTATTGGACTGTGGTATTATTATTGATTTTTTTCAATACTACTATCAATTTGACAGTCTACATATATTTTGTATATCATGATTATGCCATATTCACAAGTAACTGGTATGTAAAATACATATATAAAATATAGAAAAGATAAAACAGTTCAAACAAAGGTATCATAATTTCTTGTCTTTAGAACAAAAAAGCTAATTATCAGATTCGTATACAACATGTAAAACCAACGAAATAATGATTATCACAGAAATTTATCTATAGTCTAAAAATCCATATATTTGTCTTGTACATCATTAAGGAAATATGTTTATGAAACATAACACTTATAATCTGTATTTTTTTCACCATTTGTTTGCATAGTAAGTTGTATTTATGTATATGAATATATTATATTATTATATTTTGAGTTATTCAGCAGGCATCACGGTAGATTAGTATTGTACTAACTGATTTTACCCTCTTTAAATAAAGTCTTTATTAAATATCTTTCATTCATATTTTTCACTACATACCTTATTTTTGATCATTTTAGCTCTTCCTGCAAACTGTAGAGTTGACAAACTTTCTCCAAAACATCTGAATGCAATAACAAAACTCCATGAAATAGGTAAATAAACAAACACTTTTATAGGTATGCTTTAATGATGCATACACACTTTTTACAGGTTTTTAAATTGCAGAAAAGTGAGATAGCTTCACAGTATATGCTACTTGTTTTTTTGTTAATAACATTAATATAAATGCACGTTATCCATGGGTATCATAATTTTAAATATCAAAACTGTGTTACTGTTAAACAAATACTACTAAAGACTACAATTTTAAGCTGCTTAAAATTATCATAAACATATAAACAGACTTATTCTTTATTGTTTATTAACTGCTACCTTTTTTAAAAATCAATAATTGCATCTTTTTTTTAATTATGAAAACAAAACCTAATCATCAAAAACAATACCTTAATTATGCATTATGCTTATTATGACCTTCATAAGGCATTGCTTCCATCATATTGTAGTTTCATGTACTTACTTTGAACTTGGATGAACACATGCAATGATATGTGTTTTAGCATTTCCTCCCAGGGAATCCTGAAAAATTGAAAATAAAAAACAATACCAATACAAATGAGAATATTAGAGGTCTATTCAAAGAAAGAAATTTCAGTGTTATACTGTAAATTCAGAAATTATTACCTGCATTTATTATTGAGATTTTTCAAGGATGGACAAATATGCGAGTTAAATTATTGCGATTTCAAAAAAAAATCTGCATACATATCTGGTTCAGTTAACAGAATGCGAGTTCTTATTATTGCGATATTCACCCAGTCGCATTATTCACATTAATAAAAACCTCGCAATAATTTCTGAATTTACAGTATTCAATACCTTTGTCATAAACAAGCTGCCTCAGCTATGTTGATTGATGTTTGCTTAATGTTCAGTAGCAAATAGTTCATGCATATTCAGGATGAGCAGGGCAGATCCAGCCATTTTCAAAAGGGGGTTCCCAACCCAGGATTAAAGGGGGCTTCCAACCATATGTCCCCATTCAAATGCATTGATCGTAAAAAAAAGGGGGGTTCCAACCCCCGGAACCCTCCCCCTGGATCCACCTATGATGAGATCAAATTAACAACGATTTAAACAGGTAGGTTCTGTAAAGTGAGTTGACAAGGATAAAGGATAGAAATTTTGGTGAATTTTTAAATAATGAATGATTCTGGTAATTATGAAATGAAAGATGAAAGAATTCCATAACCCTATAATGAAACAAGCTGAATATTAAATGCAAGATGCACACAATGTCAAAGCTAATAATGAAGTTCTACAATTTAAGATGTTAAAAAAAGATGAATACAATGCTAATGTTGACAAATAAATCCAGGATAAATATGAATAATATTATGAATATTCAAGTGTACAATGAATTAGGCATATTTTTCTTGTGTTGACAACAGAAAGTATAAAACTGCATAGAAGGCTTTGAAAACTGTCTAAAAGACAGCTCAGACAGTAAATATAACTTTTATATCTACTTATTTCTATCATTAACTTATACATAAAAATTACATGATTATTGAACTTTTGGGATCTAATTCAAAACAAGTTCACACAATATGACAATTCAACATTTCAACCAAGAACTGGAGTTATATTAAAATATCTTTCTTATTTCATGAGACGGTCAATAAAATTATAAATCTGTTTGCCTAATGCTGCATATATAATGTACTGGTCTACTGGCTAAAGAGAAGCTATCAACAATTATCAATTCTCACTGCTACCTCTGATATGTCTGAAAGTTTGTGTTATTTGCAAAACATTCAAAGGAGTAGCCAGTAGCCCCAATAAACGGCCCTGTAAAGGTGTATTTTTTAAACTTCTATTGCTTGAGTAGATCTAATGTGTATGTATTGCTAATTGTATTATGTTTGAAAGTATAATCTGTCAAATTGTACATTTGCTTCATATGTCATATATATATATATATATATTTGCCTGAAATAGAAATATATTTCATTTTACTGTTTTTCAAGAAATTTTTTACCTTTTTCGACCTATTGCATAATTTATATGTGGCACCACCCCTCGCCAATTGAAATTTTTCTTGAAAAGTAAAAAATATTGTATATAAAAAATATTTCAGAAAAAAAATTTGTGGACAAGAGTGGCGCCACTGTAATTTTTTTTAGAAAACTCTCAATTTTGCGAAATTATGCCAAAAATCAGGTTTGTACGAAATTCACCTACATTTATGACATCATAAATACATAACTTATGACACAATTGGTTGAAATCTTTTTTAACTATAACAAATCGACATTTTGACAAACGTTTTCATCAAATTTTCACAACATTCTCGTAGTGAAACATTTTGAGATTTTTAGGACCAAAAATATGATTTAGTGAACCAACTTCTTTAAATATATAGGTCACTACACCGGGCAGAGAAAACTGACCTTATAAGGAAGGTGACCTTTAACTTGAGGTTCAAAATGCATAAATATTACTTGAGTGGGACAAGAGTGTGACCTGACATGACAAGTTTTTCACTTATTTGAAGTACTCTTTATAGCAGGTGAGACTTTAATAAATTTAATCTTTTATTTGGCTTGAGTGCCTTTTAAGAAGGTTTTAATTCATTTTCAGTACAACAAATAATTTGAGACAATAATTAGAACTACTTTTTTAGTTACCTGTACACCATTAATGTAAATTATACTTACTCTTAAAAGAAAAGTTAACTTAGAATCTCTGTATGGTATGTGCCTTGTTTTACCGTGGCTGATGTGAACCAATGAGTTGATGACATTGCCCAATACGGATAGAGATTTGTTTATAGAACCAGCTTCCTGTAAAAGAAAATGTAAAACTATGTGAAAATTTTTATTACTATTTTTGAGGGGCTATTCGAGGAAAAAATGTACGTGGGTGGGTTAGACAACATTTTTTTTTATCATGAATCCCTTAATTTTTATTTTCATTTGAACACAGAATTGTATTTGCTTCTACTCCTTAACAAAAATTTTAAAAAATATCATGTACCTTCCAATACATTTTTTTCCTAGAATCGCCCTTATAGCTTTTTCTATTAGAACAGATCTGCTGTTTGCTCTAACTTGTTTTATAAAATTTGTTTCATATTAAGAGGTTCCATTTTCAGATAATATCAAAATAAGGAGATTTGGTATGATTGCCAATAAAACAAAGATCCACTAAAGACTAAAGGACAGGGATGTAAACAACAACTGATGACCATACGCCCTTGGACAATGAACAAAACCCATACTGTATTATAAGCTATAAATAGCCCTAGGATAACAAACTGTGAAACAAGACTAGCAATTGAATTGGTTGTAACTATATGCATACACAGGGATGTAGATATTACATGCCATATGTAAATCATAATCTTCCTGATAGCGATAAAAAAACAATATCAATATTCTTCATCAACTATTAATATATAACCAATGAGAAAATCTCACATTTTAACAATTAAAAAGACAGAAAGAAATCAAGATTAAATGTCAGAGAAGAAGAGGTATTAATTTAAATGGCATGGATGATACATTATAAAAATTTCAGCTTTTGCAAAAATTTCCTAAAAAATAGTATCAAATTATTTTACCTTAGTAATTTTGATGCTTATGTTACAAACTTTATAAAAATTGAAAGGGTTGCTTTTTGCTTGATTTTTCTGAGTACTTAGCATTTATGATGCATATTTTTTCAATGCCTGTTGTTTATAAACCCTGTAAATTTAGAAATGATACATGTTAACTAATTGATATTTTGAATAAACTTATTTTCAAAGGTTATAAATTTAACATATTAGTAAAATCTTTAAATATTGTTTTTATTAGTTCTCACATTGATTTTGTTTATGAAAAATTAAAACATAACTAAATATACATTGCTATATATGTACAGATATGAGAACTCATTATCCTACATTCTGTCGATACATTTTACTTATATTTTGGCATTGCACAAGTTCATGCATTTCTCAGACTGTTTATGACATGTTTACACTAAATCCTATGCATGTGTACTGATTGATACTTCAGTCATGGGAGAACATGATTTATTTATTAGTTGTTATTGGCTTTGAACTAGCTTTCAGTAGCTGCAAGTACTCTTATTTCGATGCTTTGTGTCTATTGTTTTTATGTTAGTTGTTTTTGTGCCTCATACCGATCTTTTGAATTAAGCCAATTGCTACTGATTTTTATAGTTTGTTCTTGTATAGTGCTATTACACAACTGTCCCAGATTAGGAGAGGGTTGAGTGCTCACAAACATGTTTAACCCTGCCACATTCTTTATGTGCCTGTCCCAAGTCAGGAATCAGTGGTTGTGGTTGGTTCATGTTTGTCATATTTGTTTTTCGTAAAATGTTTTGTTATAAATTAGGCCATTAGCTTTCTTGTTTAAATTATTCACCATTTTTGATGTGGAGGATTTGTACAGCAGACTATACGGTATGGGTTTTTCTCACTGTTGAAGGCAGTACAGTTGCCAATAATTGCTTACATCCATTTCATTTGGCAATCTAACCACATCTTCTTATTTTTATGCTGTGTTATTGGTAATGGTTTCATGAATTCTAAATTGTTTACATTTTGAATTTAGTACCTTTAGTCTTTTACCAACAGCATTTGAATCCTTCTGTCGTTCACTGCCAGCCAAATCTACAAGGTTTAACTGAGACATTCTTAAGCTCTGTACTCCATCTTTCTTTTCCTACAATTGTAAATAGGCAAAATATTTCTATGTATTTCTCCAGTTCTATTTTTATCCCCCCCAGTTTTTGGTGGGGTTCGTGTTGCTCAGTCTTTAGTTTTATATGTTGTGTTTTGTATACTGTTGTTTGTCTGTTGGTCTTTTTCTTTTTTAGCCATGGCATTGTCAGTTTGTTTTCGACTTATGAGTTTGAATGTCCCTTTGGTATCTTTCGCCTATCTTTTATTAAATATCCTATAGAGAATGCCATTTCTCCAACCTCTCAAAAAGATAGGTTCTGCTCTTTATAAATTTAAATGCTCAGCGTGATAAATACTTCAGATTTTAAATTCTATTCATCTTCAGGAAGACATTGCATGGTAGGCAATGTATTATAGCATATCAGCATCAATGCACAATTCCTTCGCTATCTTTCTTTAGACCTATATATGTATGAGTATAAATGTATAAACCACATCTTATCTCATTTCCAAACTAACCTTTGATTCAATAGTTATGGTAAATACTGCATGACTCCGTGAACTTTCTCTATTCATTGATGTTGAAGCTACTCTTCTGTTAATCCATCCAGAATTAAGTACCTGACAATATTAAAAATAGAATTATTCTATAGAAAAGAATATGCTGTAACTTCAGATAAAGATTTTGTTTGTTATTTTTACAAATAACCATAATGTCGCTTTCAATAACAGCACTTGGCAGGTGAGTTCGACGTCAATCTTAACTGACTAGGATTGTTAGTTATCCTGCCAAAGGTCGTGGTTCTCTCCCAGAACTCCAATTCCTCCACCAATAAAAACTGACCACCATGAAATCAATAAAAACATCTCTCCGAATCTGACACTTTGTGCGCTGATACACCTCAATCAACACCTAAATACATAACCAACAAATACAATTACGTTATGGACTTAACAGAAGATATTTTTATTGATCTCACCACCAGTAGCAGCGATAAAACTATTTGTCTAGATGAATTACCAGAACATTTATCGGATAGACACGTATTTGTACACTCAATTTACAACATTTTCAGCAAATAATAACCAGGTATAATTAACAAAGACAATTGATTTGAACAATTTTATTTTACTTTCATTTTCATATTGACAATCTATTTATATATTTTCTCTATTTATATGTTTACTTCATTTTAACTTTCATTTTCAAGACTGTAGCCTTACTATGACGTTGTATTTATACAACCCGATTCTGTACCTTAGCTAACCTATCTGTAATATTTGTATCCTGATGACGGTGCCCTAGGCACCGAAACATGTTGATCATTCAATAAATTTTCTGCAGCATTCTCTCCTGTGTTGTTATTACAAGACTTTCTACATTTTATGTGTTTTATCGTAACGACCCTGCATACCCGAAGTATCCACTTCAGGGACTCTAACTTACTACATATTCACCAGGTGTTGGTTCACTTTTGTGTTTAAGAGATATTAGATATATACAGTACTACAACCATTAAAGTTGGCTAAAAGCCTTTCAAAGTATTTATTCATAACTTAGTATATGATATTTTACTATCAATTATCTAGTTGAATTGCATCAACAGAGTGATTTTCAATATTAATCAATAACCCAAACATCACAAGCAAATACAAGGCAGACATCAGAGAATGATACTCAACAATACACCATTACTAAATCAATGTCTGCATATATTTGCATTTCTATTTATTTGGCATTCCCTTAAAATTTCAGTTTATAAAATCTCCTGCCTTTTTCACATGAAAAACCAGTGGATTTTTTATGTGTGTCTTTCTTTAATTAACAAAACAAAAATCTTAAATGTTTAAATCGTCATAAAGGATTGAAACATACTTGATAAGCCTCTACAGCACTGGTTACAGCATTTTCCACTAAACCTTCCACAAAAACTCCCTTTTTCATGTTCTCTCTCAAGTGGAGTCCTCTATTTGATGGCTCTAATAAATCAAACACATCCTCTCGATAGATCTCCAAAAAAGAACATTTCAACAAAAACTCTTTACCCTTGTTCTGCAATAAAAGATCAAAGCACGAAAGCGCTGTAAAGGCAGTTAATTACAGGTTGTGTGTATTTTAAGTCCAGTCATATCATTATCTTGCATAGTACAGTGTACTTATCAGAGGTGGCTTTCAGTATTTAAGATTTAGAGTTCTCTCATGATATTGAATAAGTTTTATGAATGTCATATTCTGAGCACTGTATGAAGGCGATTGTTCTCACTTGTTTATGAACTAGTGCATTATGTCCAGTTTGTACCTTTTTTATCTATGTTTATAGTCAAATTAGTTATCAAAGGTACCAGGATTATAATTTAATACGCCAGACGTGTGTTTCTTCTACATAAGACTCATCAGTGACGTTCAGATCAAAATAGTAACAAAGCCAAACAAGTACAAAGTTGAAGAGCATTGAGGACCCAAAATTCCAAAAAGTTGTGCCAAATACGGCTAAGGTAATCTATTCCTTGGATAAGAAAATCCTTAGTTTTTTCATTGGCAATCATAACACATCTCCTTATTTATATAATGATCTATATTCAACGACCTCAGGTATACAAAAAATGTATGTAACTAAACTATGATGGGAAACCTTTGACTTCTTTCTTTATATAAACTTTTGATTTGGTACCATAGAACTATGTAGAGTAAATGTACATTGCAACATGTCAACTCTTTCAACTCTAAGCAAAATTATATTTCCAAGCATAAAGTAATTTATGAATGAAATAAAATGCTCCGCTGGGGCGCAGCTTGATACGACCGCAGAGGTCGAACCCTGAACAGTTGGGGCAAGTAAAGAACACAACATTCAAGCTTGATTCAGCACTGAATTTGGATTGTAATTAAATATTTGACACAGCATAGGTTTCTGACACAGAATGAAAGTGGTCTAAGATACTTAAAAAAATTTAATTTACCTATTCAAACCATATCATTATTATTTGCTTTTATATATAAATCAGAAATAACCAATTTAAAATGGAAAATTTTAAAGAAAAAAAAAGGAAAAAGAATCCCCCCCAAATTTTTTGAACCCCCTTATGATTCATCACCCCAAAACTCAATCCCAGCCTTCCCTTTGTGGTATGGTACCTTGCAGTACAATTTCATAAAGATCCATACACTTGAACACATGTTATTGTCTGGAAACTAGAAAAATGCTTGTTTTTTGGCCCCTTTTTGGTCCCAAATTCCTAACCGTTTAGGGCAATTACCCCCAAACTCAAACCCAGCTTTCCCTTTGTGATATGGAACCTTGTAGTACAATTTCATAAAGATCCATACACTTACACACAAGTTATTGCCATAAAACTAGAAAAATGCTTGTTTTTTGCCCCTTTTTGGCCCCTAATTCCTAAAATTTGGAGGGAATTACCCCCAAAATCAATCCCAGCATTCCCTTTGTGATATGGAACCATGTGATACAATGTCAGAGAGATCCATAGACTTACCAAAAGTTATTGTCATGAAACTAGAAAAATGCTTGTTTTTTTCCCCTTTTTGGCCCCTAATTCCTAAAATTTGGAGGCAATTACCCCCAAAATCAATCCCAGCATTCCCTTTGTGGTATGGTACCTTGCAGTACAATTTCAGAGAGATCCATACACTTGAACACAAGTTATTGTCTGGAAACTAGAAAAATGCTTATTTTTGGCCCCTTATTCCTAAACTTTTTGGGCAATTACCCCCAAACTCAATTTCAGCTTTCCCTTTGTGATATGGAACCTTGTAGTACAATTTCATAAAGATCCATACACTTACACACAAGTTATTGCCATGAAACTAGAAAAATGCTTGTTTTTTGCCCCTTTTTGGCCCCTAATTCCTAAAATTTGGAGGCAATTACCCCCAAATTCAATCCCAGCATTCCCTTTGTGGTATGGAACCTTGTGATACAATGTCAGAGAGATCCATAGACTTGCACACAAGTTATTGTCATGAAACTAGAAAAATGCTTGTTTTTTGCCCCTTTTTGGCCCCTAATTCCTAAAATTTGGAGGCAATTACCCCCAAAAATCAATCCCAGCATTCCCTTTGTGATATGGAACCTTGTGGTACAATGTCAGAGAGATCCATACACTTACACACAAGTTATGTCTGGAAGTTACAAATATGCTTGTTTTGGCCCCTTTTTGGCCCCTAATTCCTTAACTGTTGGTACCATAACCCCCAAAATCAATCCCCACTTTCCCTTTGTGGTATTGAACCTTATTTTAAAATTTCATTGAGATCCATTCACTAAAACTAAAGTTAGAGTGCGAAAACTAATGTGTCTTCGGACGACGACGACGCCAACGTCATACCAATATACGACCACAAAAATTTTGTTGCGGTCGTATAAAAAGGAGTTCTTAATTAAGAAATAAACTGATTCGCTGAGCGCAGCTGGATACACCCGCAGAGGTACTACCCTGAACAGCTGGGGCAAAAATGGACACAATATTCAAGCTTGATACAGGTCTGAATTTGGATTGTAATTAAATATTTGACATATTATAGTTTCTGAATAAATGTAGTCAATGAACTTGAAATCGGTTATATGAATTGAATTTATATTCAATTAAAGATTTCTTGCTGTTGTGCAATACACTGTGCTGTTGTGCAATACTTAATAAATCTGTTGCCAGACTATAAACAAATAAAGTTCAATTTCTTCTCAATGTCATATTTGAAATTTATGAAAATCAATAGGGAGATTACATCAATAGCTATAAATAATTCACCAAAGTTTCATGTGAACTGCTCAAAGCATTTTTGAGTTGTTGTCCAAAAACTGGAAAATCCCCCCTTTTTTAATGAATAAAACCCCATAACTCAGAAATGTAAAATCTAAAATTTATAAAATTCTAAAGGGAGCTTACGGATTGATAATTTAGTCTTAGATGCAAGATTTTTTTATCAGTTGTTAGTGGCTTTGAACTAGCTGTCAGTAACTGCGAGTACTCTCAGATTTGTACTTAGTGTCTTTTTGTTGTTTGGATGTACAACTACCTGACCACGTCCACTTGTATTTGTATTTATCCATCTGATGAGTTTAGCCTCTTTCAACTGATTTTTATAGTTCTTTCTTATATTGTACTGTTACACCACTGTCCCAGGTTAGGGGGAGGGTTGGGATCCCGCTAACATGTTTAAGCCCGCCACATTCTGTATGTACATGTATGTGCCTGTCCCAAGTCAGCAGCCTATAAAAGTGTAATTCAGTGGTTGTCGTTTGTTTATGTGTTGCATATTTGTTATATTTGTTCATTTTTTTACATAAAATAGGCCGTTAGTTTTCTTGTTTGAATTGTTTTACATTGTCATTTCTGGGCCTTTTATAGCTGACTGTGCGGTATGGGCTTTGCTCATTGTTGAAGGCCGTACTGTGACCTATAGCTGTTAATTTCTGTGTCATTTGGTCTCTTGTGCATGTGTGGAGAGTTGTCTCATTGGCAATCATACCACATCTTCTTTTTTATATTTACATAAACAGATATAAAAAATTCACCAAAGTCAAGGTGAGACAACAAAACTTAGTTGTAAGATATCTGAAATTTTTTACACGTTACGAGTTTTTCTCATTGTTGAAAATTGTACAGTGACAGTAACACCTGTAACTGCTTAAACCCATTTCTTATGCACTTTAGTTTGATAAACTCACTGAATATCATACCACATCTCCTTATTTTTATATGCATTACAATTTACATGTGCATGTAATTGTAAATATATATATATCAGAACAAAATTCATTGCGTCACTTTTATTTATGCATCCTTTGGCACAATACAAGTTCTAAAATTACACAACATAAAACAACTAAATGTTATTTCAGATGAAAGTTTTGTTTCAGTTCCATTCATAGGATTTATTAGAATTTTGTATGTTTTGCCAAGTCCAATAATTCGCTCTATGTGACATAGAGACATAGTTGACTAAACCACCAGGTGTCGAACATTCAAGAATTTTCAGTGTTTCTGTTTTTATTTGATGAAAAGGTTGCCTGAGCTCTAGGAGCTTTAGGTTTTATCACGGGATAATCTGTGCTGTCAATAATAATCCAAGTCGTAGGAAACTTTAATTTGAAGTTGGATGGTGAAAAATACCTGACTAAACCACTAGATGGCCAAGTGTTAGCCTCACACCACTGTTTAGACATAAAAACAATCCATGTATACACAATATTCTTAACACTAGATTCAATCTAGAATCTAGACAGTTCAAAGTTGGTTGTATGATGCCTCAATTTCATCAAAGTCATAAAAAAACTGATTTTCAACTGACACCCTATCAATTTGAAAATATATGTATCTCAAACAATGTGCTGCTGGACCAAGTGTGGTCAAAACAAATAAAAATTTAGTATACAACTCTAAACCGGTATAAAAATGCATGGCTGTGTCACGTGTCTTCATTTCAAAATTCTCTGCTGAAAATATAGGCATTGATGGTGTTTGAGTTTGCGGACGATTCAGTCTCTTGCCTGGTCCAGGAAAATAGGCTGGGAATTGCAGTAGACTTAAGTCTCTGTATGGTGGGTTTACGCCCTGAAAAAGGTTATAAAACATTAGTTTTTTTATAATTAAATGAACTTCCATTAGCAATGTATACTTTGTACTACCTGGCGAAATATAAACTAGATTTATTCATTACAATCTGGATAAAACTATGTTTGCCTGATTCGATGTATGTTATGTAAATCCAAAGGACAAACAATGAGAGACTTATGCAACAAACGTACATTGTTTGTACCTAAATAACTATAATATAGATGAGAGCATGTCATTGTTTTGTTCCTGTTAACATTGTCATTGATATTTTTCAAGAAAGTCTATGAGGCATAGCTTATGCATTCCTGTCATTACTACATTAGCATAATTACTGCTAAAATAATTCTCAGTATGATATACCTCTTGTAAGAAATCATTATAATTGTAGCAATCACCAAAAAATCTCAAACAGATCACATTGAATCGTAATCCAAAAAATTATGACGTCTTGAATTACCCACCCCCTTTTATTCTAAAACGATAATTGCGGTTGTAAACAGACTTTGGTTTATTCGCATGGCGATTACATATATAACTATATATTTCACAAAGAAAATAGAGTTTTACCATGAATAGTTTCCTGCACGTAGTCTTTTTCAGTAAAACGTGCCTTGCAAACAACAGTTGATTGAGATGGACTCCACGATATCATCGTGTTCTCGTCCAATCTGCGTTGATCCAACTTTTCCTTCTTTTTAAGTCATTTGGAAATGCATGTCCTCCTCTTAAATGACATCCAGGTACACAACAACAAGTATTTGGCATCGTTAATTAAAAATATAACTGAAATAGTTGCACAGTGCAGAAACCGGAAGAAGAGGAACAGGATCCGCTACCACGGCGCCACCTATTCAGGAACGATAATTTGCTACTTTATATAACTGCGAAAATAACGTTAGACGGGTTCACGTGCATAAACAGAAATGCGCTTTAAATTGTATAATATAATTCATGTTCAGTCGACCTTTAATTATTATATCAACGACTGAAATGATTTATAAACATCTAGATTGCAGATAACACTCGAAATTAACCCGAGCTCTTTCCACACGGAATTCAAATAATTCTAGTTTGTCAATCGGTTGACTGCTTATAATGCAAAATACTAATATATCAAAAGTTTTTAAAACTAACAAAATACAATGATCGTTTCTCTATTTCCCAATGTAAATGAAATGAAACAAAAAACATTTTATATCGCAATAAGAAGAGGAGAGAATTCAACATTTCCGGATCTACTTGGAGTCTAATGACCCCCCACGTAGATAAGTTGGATATCGCGGAAGGAAGGATTAACCCGGCAACTAGAAAGGCATTAAAGCACTGCCTTTAAAAAATCAATGTATATGTAAACTGTCTATTATAAATACTCTGCAACAAAAGACCTAACATAAGGAAATACTTTCTGAAAAAGTGATGTGATGCTACATTAAAGTCAAGTTCGCCTGACATTACAGGATTGTTCTTTTTTAAATCCCTTAAAAAAATTTCGAAAGAAAATGTTTTCGTTCACAGATCAAAAAATGATTGTTTTCAAAAGCAATATATTCAATAATAGAATAATCTTCCCAATTAAATTCTATAGCCACAGGTCTAACGGTCAAGTTTTGGCCTGTAGTAGAAATTTTTACAAGCCTGGTATAATTTTACAAGACTTGGCTAGCAGGCCTGTGGCTGAGCATGATAACAGATAGTTGGAGTAATGTTCCTTTGAATGAGAAACTTTTATTAGCATTGGTCATTACCATTTCCTGTTCACTAGCTACGTTGTTAAATAGATTTTCAAAACTCCTTGGAATTATTCCTCTTAATTCATGCTGGAAGTTATCTGCATCTTCACAAGGACCTGCAAAAGTTGAAAAACATGGAAGACATGATTATGTAATACACTTGCCAGTGTAACAGCTTCAAGTTAAAACATGCTCATGTAAAATGTTCTTTTATGAGTTGATTGAAGCCTTTGCAACCATTTTTTTTATTTGTATCAAAATAATAAATAAACGAATACTGTGGATTCATTTATTTTTGTGGGTATCAATTTTGTGGATTGAGTAATATTTGTATTTTCATGGATATTTGATTTCATGGTTTTGCTATAAAAATGTCAGCATACAAGCCTATAGATATTGGCACTAAATTTAACATCTTAATTTGTGGTTTATGAAATCCAAGAAAATTGGTATCCCACAAATATTAATGAATCCACAGTACTAGGAATCAATTACAAAAATATTGAACAGTACAACAAACCACACTTACCACCAAGACCTGACTCCTCATTGAAAACAGACACACAGATAGACTGTTGTCTCTTTGACACATAGACACACAGATAGACTGTTGTCTCTTTGACACATAGACACACACATAGATTGTTGTCTCTTTGACACACAGACACACAGATAGATTGTTGTCTCTTTGACACATAGACACACAGATAGATTGTTGTCTCTTTGACACATAGACACACAGATAGATTGTTGTCTCTTTGACACATAGACACACGGATAGACTGTTGTCTCTTTGACACATAGACACACGGATAGACTGTTGTTTCTTTGACACATAGACACACACATAGATTGTTGTCTCTTTGACAAACAGACACACAGATAGATTGTTGTCTCTTTGACACACAGACACACAGATAGATTGTTGTCTCTTTGACACATAGACACACAGATAGACTGTTGTCTCTTTGACACATAGACACACGGATAGACTGTTGTCTCTTTGACACATAGACACACACATAGATTGTTGTCTCTTTGACACATTTCCCGTTTCCATTCTCTATTCTACAAAAACCATGACAAACAACCAAAAAAACATGGTCCAGATTGCCAGACCTGGTAGACACAAAATGTAAAGATGTCATGAACCAGGTGGTGACTGATTATTTATCTTTCTGCTATAACTAAAAAGGTTGAAATCATCAAACCTGTTGATTGAAATAAGACGTGTGTTGTCAATTGAGCCTCCTATTCTGAATCTGTAAGAAAACTCTGGTATCTTTATCTTGAGAATGCAGACATCATTCTCTATAAATTTCTCGCTTGTTTATCAGAGCACATTTTATCAAAAAAGTATACATACCTAACATTGTATGTGTTTTTCCTGATCCAGTTTGACCACTATAAAAGAAAATTGTTATCATTTCAAAATAGTTAGATCATAATTCAGCATGTTCAATAAATTAATAAATAGCATATAATACCTCAAAGTTCAGATTTACATTACTATTTTTTTCAAATTGCGATTGGATATCTAAGATGAAATATGAAATTTGAGAAATGGCAGCGTTACTAGAAATAAAGGTAAATGCAATACTGAATCTGAATCCGGAACCTGATATGGCAATTTCTGGGTTTGACAGTAAAAAAAAGTTTTCTGACCGACTAATCATATTTTTTTCCCAGAAGGTTACAATAAACACACATTTCAGGGTTCGACACTAACGCTAGCCCGCCAGCCTGAGGCTAGTAAAAATTAGGGAGGGCTAGTAAAGTTTTCATCACAGTAGTCCGACAGGCTAGTCAAAATATTGTTTAAAACTAGGAGTTTCACAAAATTTTAATTGTCAACAAATCCCAGATTTTTTGCTGACCTTTGCTGTCTTTATTGTACAGTTTATTCACGTATATTTTGATTGTCAGACATTTTTTAACATGAAAGGTACTTTTTGGGGAGGGGAAAGAAACAGAAACAATGATGGTACTTAATACATTGAAAACCACGTGTGTTACAAACACCATGATGATTCTAATCAGAAACCTGGATCTCAAAAGTGCTTTCATACTATCAAAATAATAACATGAATACGAAATTTACATACATTACCTACCGATACCATCACTGTTTGGGAAAAATGTACAACTTATTGGGAGGAATTCTAAGCCATTTTTTTAGTAATTAGGAATTTTCTCTAGGGGAAAAAGCTGTATTTCGAATGTAATTTGACGCAAACAATATCATTGAATTATTGTCATAAAAACAAAATAATAGGTCTCTGCAAGGATTTGTATACTATACAATTCCTTGGTCTCTGGTAAAACTATACAGATTTTTAGGAATAAATCTTTTCCTGCAAAAAAAAAAAAAAGCTGAAACAACAAGTCAAGGGAAAAGAAGGAGTCCATGAAGAATTATGACAAAAACAACAAGGGCAAACCTTTCCTCTTTTGTGGGTGTATTTTTAAATCCCTAACTTATCCATCTTCATTAAAGACACTAGTAATAATGATAAGTAAAATGAGGATGATGATGAAGTAATGATCGAAAGGGGTCTTCAAAATAATTCGAACACATTCTTAATATAGATGATTAAAATATGAATTTTTGTTTTTTTTTGGTATTTGTTATTAGCAAACCAGTGAAATTTCATGTAATAAAACGTGTTAAAAACCCTCTGGAAATGCTCCAGAACACCGGATTTAGCTTCATTTGTATCAAAATTTTCTGGGTGGGGCATGCCCCCAAACCCTCCTAGTTAGGGTCGTGCCAGTGGCACGACCGTCCAAGTGCCTTTGGCACTTGGAGGACTAGTGAATTGACAAGAGGACTAGTAGAATAATAATTTCATTAGCCCTGCAGGCTAGTACATACATTTAGTTAGTGTCAAACCCTGCATTTCTTTTTTAGTCTAATGACCCCTGTGATTTAATACCTATAAGTCAGTCAGGGTTACTATTTGTACAAGTCATTTTTATTTACTTGAAGAAGTAAATATTAATATACTTATATAAGTAAAATTGTAAGATACAAGTGTATTTTATTTAGTTGTATAGGTAAATTATTTTAATGGCTTATTTATGTCCCTTAGACATTCATATTTTTTTTTACTTATACTAGTAAAAAAGTCATACTTTGATGTCTATCTTCTTTTCTTGAATTTCTCAGGACTTCTTTGCTCTAATAGAATTTTGAATTGTCTGTCCTTTGCAAATGTCTTTACTAATTATTGAAGTGTAATTTAATGGACAATGAATATCTCATTTGTCTGTTATCTTCAAAATACTGCTCATTTATATGCCTCCAAGGGGCAATTTTTGAAGGCCTTGCGCAATTACTAAAGATCTTTGCGCAATTAGTTTCTATGTTGAATTAATGAGATGAAGCATTGAACTCTAACAAAAAATTATGAGCTAACCAGAGAAAAATTGTTTAAGGCATGTTTTTACATCCCAAAACTTGACAATTTTAGGGATTGTAAAAAAAAATTACTTATACAAGTAAATTTTTTGAGAAAATAAAGGGGTGATTATTCAAACTTTATAAGAAAATATGAATATAACAAATTTACTTATATACATGTAAGTATATCATTATTTACTTCTTCAAGTAAATAAAAATAACTTGTACAAGTAGTACCCATGACTGTAAGTATGGAACATACAAAGAGAAATCAGAGTGATTTACCAAAAATCAGAGGCATACAATGCCAAGACTGAAAAATCACCACCAAGAATGTTTTCTTTACTGAATTACCATGTGTGTATTGTAATGCAGTTCCTTTTCATATTGTCATTACTGAAGAAAACAAGAAGAACAAAATATTCTTTTAAGCTATTCAATGTTCATCTTTATATCCTTAAAACATGCCACAGGATGTTTAGCAAACAATTGGAGAGAAGTCTCATTGGCAATCATATCACCAATCATATCACATCTTCTTATTTTTATTATGATAAATCAATCAACTGGAAAAAAATCCCATTTGAATCTGTATTTACAATACTTACTAAGCAAATATAGTTCCATTGTATCCACTTACACAACATTCTATTATTGGTTTCCCGATAACATTAAATAGGGATTCCTGAAATGGTAAAATAGTACAAAATTAAAAAAATTACTGTTAAAGTAACATTACAAATACCATTTCAATATAACATTCTGTACAAATGTTTATAGAATATTCAATATGGCCATAGAATTCAATAGGAGGATGTGTCTGTACAATGTGTCAAAACTACAAAAATATAGGTTACATTGACCTAAATATTGCTGAATAACATTGCGCTAATTCAAGACACCGTAGTTCATTTATATCCTACAATAGATCTTAATGCAAACCTAAACAAAGTCACTTCAGTATGCAAGAAGGTAATAAACATCAAAATATTGTCAAACAGTATTTCATTATACAAGATAACTGTATTAAATTGGCAAAATATTGAAACACTACTGCAGGGCTTCCAAAATTATTTTTAGCCAGCCGGACATTTTATATATTATCCCGATTTTAATCCCTTAAGACTAAATAAACAAAAGGCAATTATGGTAATCAGTTGCCGAGTTGGCCATCCCAATGATTGACATTAAAAAAAAAAACGATATTAAACTTTCTTTGATTCAAATTCGAAATTCTGATGAAACTGTTAAATTGGCAGTGCATCATTCGAAGTGTGCAACATCAGCGTACATATATCTGCCTTAGACTCTTTATTTGTGCAAAATAACGTTGTCAAAAACTTTACTTTCGTTTTTAAATCCAATACTGGATGTTATCTTGACAATGGTAAAACATGGACCAGAGACGGATACGTAAATTCCGTGTACGTTTGCAAAGCATGAATGAGTTTAAGAAGCTCTTTCTACGTTATTTCTTCAAGAAAATATTCAAAATAAAAGTGAGATAAAGGTATCAATGACAATTTAAGCATTTTTTGAAGAAATTAGGATGCATAATTAAATTTCACACCTGCACACACGTTTACTAGTTCAAACAGAGACATGTCTCTGGTTCAAACAACGTGGTTATGTAGATTTTTCATTTTCACCTTTTTAATTTTTTCATCAAATCATATTTGTAAACGTATTTCTGATAATTTAAATCTTTTTGACTAAATTAATTAGATGCAAACCACTGAAATGTAAGAAAATAACTTTGAATATACCGATCAATGTCCGGTTCAAAATAGTTTACCTGTCACCTGAACAGGTAAATTTCAGCTGTTCGACAACTAATTAGCCTTGATTAAAATGAGAAGGTATTAAAATAGGGGTTGTTTTGATAGTACTTAATGATCATGTCACTTTTATGACCGGAAATGTGTGGCTGTTAAAGGCAAAAGGTTGGGTCAAAAAGATCGTGAATTATGTTAAAATGACCGTCTCTTAAGAAAGCCTTGAAAACTAAAAAGTAGATGACTGTTTCATGCTTTGCCCAGCCGGATGTCTGGAATATATGACCGTTTTGGAAGCCTTGCACTACTGACACATCATCATAGATATCTTAGAAGTTGAGTTCCATGCGAAACCTTGTGTCAAAAACGGGAAATACAGGTCATCAATAGTACAAATTTTGGTACTTCTAAAAATCTACTTTCTACTACGAAAACCTTGCTGCATAGAAAATGTAATGATAACTATCACTAGTAACCACTCTGTCAAAGTATCTGATATACACTAGTTAACATCATGAACATGGTTAAGTCTATCTGATTTTGAACACAATTAGTTTATGTTTACTACAGCTATAATTCAAGTGTTAGATCCCTCCCCCTAAAAAATCAAGCAGGACTGAAGAATTATTTTACAGAAATCTGCACATATTCCATTTAAATTTTACAAGTTAAGCAGATCTGCCAGAAAAACTGACAGACTTGGACCTACTGATAGCTGTAAATTTCCAGCATATAAAATTGTACATTTTTAAAGTAAAATGAGATTTTATTAAATAAATACTTACCATCATAAATTCTGAGTACATCCATCTGCGCAAGTCTGACAGGCGGAAAACCCCAAATAAAAATATCATCCAATGAGAAGAGGGTTGACCAAGCAGTGCCCGTATAACCATGCCTTTATATCATCCATTTAATTTCCTAAAGTAAGCAAGCCCCCCTAGGAAAAAAAACAGGGGATGAAGGGGAGGTTGGGAGGGACCTTTAATTTATGATGGTAAGTATTTATTTAATAAAATCTCAGTTTACTTTAAAAATGTACAATTTTGTGTCAATAAATACGTTACCTGCATAAATTCTGAGTAAAATATAGAAACTAACGCAAAGCTGAATCCCCTGAACCAGAAGATGCAGGAGGAAAAACAACTCTTTGTGCGGAAACTAAAGGTCCTAAGGAGTACAAACTCTGAGCTTGAGTAGATAAAGACTGCAGATAGTGAGAAATGAAAGAATTTTCAGTTCTCCAGAAACCTGCAGATAAGACTTCCTCTAAAGAAGCGTTATGAAAAAGGGCCCAGGAGGTAGAAATAGCTCTAACATCATGGGCTTTAACATGCATACTATTCAGAAGTTCTTCATTAGAAGAATTGTAAGCTAATTGAATAGTTTTACAGATGCAAGTTGAAATGGTTTTAGCAGACAAATCTTGTTTTCCTTTGTTAATAGGAATAAATAACCTAGAATTTGAGGAGGTGCGGAGACTCCGTTTTCTCTGAAGATATAAAAGTAAGACTCGGATAGGACAGAGTACTTTAGAACTTGAATCATCAGGAAGGGCTGGAATCACTATCGGTTCTGAACCTCTGCCCGGAATTTGATTTTTGGCTAAAAAAGCTGGATCCGTTAATAGAGTAACAGATGACTTATCCCTATTAAAACGAAGGCAGTAATCAGCAGTGGAAAACGCATGAACTCACTTCTTCTTCTTCCAAAGGCCAAGGTAAGAAGAAAACAACACTTATACGATAGAAACTTGATTTCAACCTTTTCAGCAGGTTCAAAAGGATGGGTTTTTAAAGCTGATAAAACTACACTCAAATTCCAAGACGGGATTAAAACTCTCTGTCTAGGGCGTTCAAGAGTGAAATTCTTAACTAAAAGAGAAATGAATTCATTATTACCAAAGTCTGGACCTCCAGACAGTTGAATCGTCCTAGAAATAGCTGATCTATAGCCTTTAATAGTAGAGGGAGATAATCCTTTCTCTTCAAAAAGGTGGATCAGAAAGTCTGCTAGTTGCTGTTCAGAAATTTGGAAAGGATCAATTTCCTTCTAACTACACCAACTACTGAAGATAGTCCACTTGGCATCATAGACGATGTTAGTTGAATCTCTAATTGCTCGGTAGAGATGTCTGGCTGCGCATTCAGAAAAACCTCTCTCCTTGATCCCTGAGAAAAGCCACACCAACAGATGTAGCTTCTCTGGATTGGGATGAAGAATCTTGCCCTTGAACTGGGACAGAAGGTTGTGTCGTACTGGTAAAACCAGTGGACAAGCACAAGACAGATGAAGAAGATCTGGAAACCAGGCTTGTTTGGGCCAAGCTGGAGCAATAAGAATGATCAACCCTTGCTCTGCTGAGACCTTCCGAAGAACTTCTGACAGAAATCTGAACGGAGGGAAGGCGTAAGCGAACATTACGTCCCAAGGAACACTCATGCAGTCTACTGCGTAAGCTTTCAGATCTGGTACAGGAGACATGAACACTTGAACTTTGTAATTGAGGCTTGTTGCAAACAGGTCTACATGAGGAGACCCCCATTGAAGTGTTATTGCCTGAAATACTGATTGGAGAAGTTCCCACTCTGTATTGACTGGGGTAAGTGTCCTGGACAGAGCATCTGCTAACACATTGAGTTTCCCTGGGAAATGACAAACTACAATCTGTAGATGAAGGTGATTGCAAAGAAGGAGGATTTCTCTTGCTAAAAGGAACAGCTCGTAACAATGAGTTCCCCCTTGGTTTCGCAAATAAGCCACCACAGTGGTGTTATCCGATGCTAGAACCAGAGATTTGTTCTGCAGGAGGGACTGAAAATGAGACAGTGCAAGAAGAACTGCCTTCATTTCTAGTATGTTGATGTGTTCCTTCAAAAGATCTGGAGTCCACACTCCTGAAACTGAAAGACCTTCCAGATAAGCTCCCCAACCGAGGTTGGAGGCATCTGTGAACAGAGTTTGATTTGGAACCAGAGAGGACAGAAGTTGGCTTCTCAAAACGTTTGCTTGAGAAGTCCACCAAACCAAATGAGGATACAGTTCCTGATGAATGATTGGAACTGGAAATTCCCAATCCTGTGTAGCTGGGAGCCAATGTTGATGTAGATAAAATTGAAGAGGTCGAATGTGAAGGCGACCAAGTGGAACAACATCCGCTAGTGAATTCAAGAGACCTAGCAGTTGTGAAAACTGGCGAGCAGTAACTGTTTTTTGAGATAGAAACAGATGAATTTTTTGAACAAAGATTCTGAAACTTTTCCTGAGGAGGTCGAACTATGCACTGATGAGTAAGGTAATGTTCGCCTAGGAAAATAAAGTCCTGAAACGGAATGAGGTCTGACTTTTTCCAAGAGATGAGAAACCCCAGAGAGAGAAGCAATCTGATGACTACATCGGTATTGAGATAGAGTTTCTCGGGAGAAAGTTCCTTGATCAGTCAGTCGATCAGGTAAGAATGAATCTGAATAGCCTGTGAATGAAGGTGAGCTATGGCTACCTGCATGAGTTTGGTAAAGGCTAAGGCTAGTGGTGCAGTTGACAGACCAAAAGGGAGAGCTCTGAACTGGTAAACCCTTTTGTTCCAAACAAACCGAAGGAATTTGCGGTATGAATGGCAAACTGGAACATGAAAATAAGCATTCGTCAGATCCAGGGATGTTGTCCACATACCTGGAAGTATAGAAGCTCTGATTGAACGATTGGTCTCCATTTTGAAATGGGGAATAATCATGTAAGAATTGAGGATAGACAAATCGATGACTGGTCTCATTCCTCCTGTCTTCTTTGAAACAAGGAAGAGACGAGAATAGAAACCTGGATCTATTGAAGATACAGGGACTTCCTCCACTGCCCTCTTTGTCAAAAGAGTCTCTACTTCTGTTGACAGAAGAAGAAACTTCTGTGGATCTTGAGTATTGGACAGTGGGATAGGAACAGAAGAAAGAGGAGGTTGTTCTTTGAATTGAAGAGTCAATCCCCCTCGAATTACTGACAAATCCCAACAATCTAAGGTAATACTTGTCCATTTTTTTAGAAAATGAGTTAACCTCCTCCCTACTGGCAATTGAGAAAGAGGAGTTTTGTAGTACATCTCTGGATTGTGTTCTGACAGTAACGTACGAGGGGGCAACTTCCTAGGAAGAGGGATTGGCCCTCTTGCCACCTCTCTTAAAACTGTTAGGTTTAGACCTAGGGATTGAAGACTTCTTAGGTTTATTACCTCCATCATTAGTAATTTTCCTCCTCTTCTCTTGAGAATTATAAGATGAGCCTCCAGCGGAAGAATAACTACCTCGTTTAGAATTATTTCCAGAAAGAGAAACATTCACCTTCACTGGAGCTGGGGTTTGATTGAGATGCTTCTGTACCTCATTAAGTGGCAACCCGAAAATCTTATCATCTAAAGGAGAATTAATTAAAGCATCCTTAAGATTATCCGAAACCTTTGCTTTATCCAAAATTTCTGCTCTTTTGGATAAAGTGCAGTTGGCTATAGAACCCATAATCAACAACTGAGAGGCACCCAAAGCCTTGTCCATCTGTAATAGAAAAGGCTTGACCTCTGGTGGAAGAGAAGAGTCTTTAAGTACTGGAGCAACTGCAGTTAAAAAGTGTTCAGCAGTGCCTAAAACAGAAGGTTCTCTGTTTTGGACCAAACAGACTTAGAAAGACGCAGTCCATCGGCAGGTTTAGAAGCAATCGAAGATGAAAAAGCCTTGTCACATTTAGGTACCAATTTACCCAAGGTAGAATCAAAGATATCATAATCTTTAGAACAGAACTGCTCAGTAAATGAGGCAAGCCCAAAACCACTCACTTGGGAAAATTGGGACTCATTAGCCACAATCCCATCATTGATGATCTGCAGAGAAGTAGACATATGGTTGGATTGTGGAAAACTAGTATGTGACTTAGCGTTGTCTATAGACAGACCACATGATGAAGCCTCGAAAGTAGAGGTAAGTCTTTTGGGTCTGGGAGGAGACTGAAATGGTACCTTGTTGACGTCTCTCATAATGGTATAAACCGAATCTCTAAGATCCTTCAAAGTAGAAGGAGTATCTTCAGCCTCAGGATCCTTACTGGAATTGGTAGAAGAACGACTAATTACAGAAGAAGAGATAGACACAGGAACAGAAGGTTGAGAAACATTCTGAGAGACCTGAACTGGATTATCACCTTCTTCATCAGAAGTAAAACCTTCTTCCTGACTGCCTGGGGCCAACGAAAAGCATTCTTCCTCATCACTGTCCTCCGGATCACTTCCAATATTATGATCTGGAAGGAGTGAAATCACTGGAGAATTTGACTTATTGGCAATGTTCTCTAGCGTACCCAGGCGGTTGGAGAAAGGTGTCAATTCAGAAGAAATAGACTGACGAATGTCGTCCAGAATACTCTTGAACCCATCTAAAGAGGGGCCAGAGTCAGTAACCTGATTAAACTGATGCCTAACAGAAGAGGTAGGCAGAGCAGCAGGTACAGATACACTACTACAACTACTAGATGACACTGCTAAAGGAGGAGCAGGAACTGACAGATTAGATGTAGTACTCTGAGGAACAATAACTGGTGTGATAATTGGTCCACAATAAGGCCAGAAACCTGGGAAAGGCTGACCAGGAACCTGACTAGGAAAAACCTGATTAGGAAACCCTTGACCAGGAAACCCTTGACCAGGAAAACCCTGACCAGGAAAGCCTGAATAAGGATAACCCTGAGACCAAGGAGGTCTAGACCAAGACATGACATTACTAGCCGAAGCAAGTAAAGTGAAGCCACAGTATGACGCTGGTGCTCTAGACCCAGGTAAGTTTAGACCCATAGAAATACCGCGGTAGGATGAAATAGACCCAGTGGTGTCAACTGGCCTAGAAAATGTGTGCGTAACAGTGGCAATGGTAGGGACACCTCCATGATAACCGACATAACCTGCATTGAGGGTCTGTTTACCGGTCTTAGTAGTCACCGAAGTAAAAACGTCGGTTAGTTGACTACTATTAGGAGGGGTTCCCTGCCTTACCGTTGTTGCGGTAACAGTAAAGGGTAACGAACCATCTAAAAAAACATCATTACCTGTAATGGCCTCGAAAGGACTGGAAGCATTAAACTCCATAATTAAATAAGTATGAAGTTAAATACTTATAAAATACAATATTATAACAACAATATGAAATAATAATTAATAAACAATGGTATGGGGATACCTACAATATTCACTATCGTAAAAACAAAAAACTTAAAAGTCTTCTCTGTAACACGTGTGTCTCATTGCACAGGCGGAAATTAAAATGGATGATATAAAGGCATGGTTATTCGGGCACTGCTTGGTCATCCCTCTTCTCATTGGATGATATTTTTATTTGGGGTTTTTCGCCTGTCAGACTTGAGCAGATGGATGTAGTTTTGTTTTTAGTCTTTCTTCACTCATCAAACATAAATTGTTTTCCTATAATCCAGGATGAGTTTGTTCATGGAATAAAAACTAACCCACACTATATCTGAACATGTTTCCATACCTGTCACTCATCAAACATAAATTATTTTCTTTCATCTATGATGAGTTGTTCATGGAATAATAAACAGCTGCGCCATGAGCGCATGATACGCCCGTCGTCTTGTGTGTGAATTTTTATGCAATAAGCATAAATAGTTTCTGACATACGGCGTGACATGCGAAAACCCCCCTTTTTTTTAAACAAAAAACTCAATATCTCTAAAATAAAATTTTGAATCAAAACCAAAAAGTATACAGATCTTTAGATTAATATAACTAAGAAGTGTGTTAAATTTTAAGCAATAATCATAAATTGTTTTTGAGATACGGTGCGACTTGTGAAAAACCCCTCCCCATTTTTTTACAAAATACTCAATAACTCAAAAATAAAATTTTGAATCATCACCAAAAAGTATACAGATCTTAAGGTTAATATAACTAAAAAGTGTGTAAAGTTTTAAGCAATAATCATAAACTGTTTTTGAGATACGGCGCGACATGTGAAAACCCCCCCTTTTAAAAAAAAAAAAATCAATATCTCAAAAATAAAATTTTGAATCAAAACCAAAAAGTATACAGATCTTTAGATTAATATAACTAAGAAGTGTGTAAAATTTTAAGCAATAATCATAAATCGTTTTAGAGATACGGTGCGACATGTGAAAAACCCCTCCCCCTTTTTTTACAAAATACTCAATAACTCAAAAATAAAATTTTGAATCATCACCAAAAAGTATACAGATCTTCAGGTTAATATAACTAAGAAGTGTGTAAAGTTTTAAGCAATAATCATAAACTGTTTTTGAGATACCGCGCGACGTGAAAAACCCCTCCCCCTTTTTTAACAAAATACTCAATATCTCTAAAATAAAATTTTGAATCATCACCAAAAAGTATACAGATCTTAAGATTAATATAACTAAGAAGTGTGTAAAGTTTTAAGCAATAATCATAAATTGTTTTTGAGATACGGTGCGACATGTGAAAAAAAACACACACCTGTTTTAGTTACTAAGTCCCGTAACTCAAAAAGTTTTAATCTTATTTTCACCAAAAAGTATGCAGATCGTTTGACCATCATAAGAAACAACTATGTTAAGTTTCATGAAATTTGGATAAGTCATTCTCAAGTTACGGTGCGACATGTTTACGCCGGACAGACAGACGGACGGACGCCGGACATTTGTATAACATAATACGTCCCGTCGAAAATTTGACGGGCGTATAAAAACTAACACACACTATATCTGAACATGTTTCCATACCTGTGTAGAAGTAACATCAGCTACCTTATCAAATGTAAATATTCTGGGTTCTGGTTTACTGTTCATCACAAGGGAGGTCTCATCAAGAACCTTGAGTGCCAGAACCTGTCCAATATCTGTGTCATAGGAGTCAGGTGGTCTGATTCTAACAAACACTTTAATGGCATCCCCTTCACTGCAAAAAACAAATCTTACTATTTACTGCATTAGAAGAGTGCTCCACTATGTCATGTATGTACAACAAAAGAAATCCAGAGAAGTTGCATTGGTTATCAAAATTTGTCAGTCTTTTAGACTCTTATATAGACTGAAAATACACAACCTACCTTTGATGACATCGATCGCAAAAACCCTGTTTCTTCGGTAATTTGGTTTTTTCTTTTCTTATTTTTTTTTGGGGAGGGGGGGGGGGTTGATGTGGGGATAAAAAGAAAAAAGAAGATACTAGATGAATAAGATTTCCCTTGTATGCTTGGTGTTTTCATTGCAGTTCCAGTACATACTGTAGTTTTAAATTCTAAATCAAATGGGTCAGACTATGTATAGCTACACAAAATTTTATTCCTTTTCATTGTTTACCATTGTTTACTAGGTCATGCAGGAATAAGACATTATTTTGTTTTATTATTTTTGTACAGTAAATTGTTTTAACAGCAGACATGAGGCAAATGTACAAAACACTGTCCTGTATAAAAGTTATTGATCTTAAGTCTGATATACTGTCCCTGACAGTCTCTTTCCCTCAATTAACAGGTTGGGACCTGTGACCCAAATGTGTTATTACCCATTAGGTGTAAAATAGCACAATTGGGGTATTAATTAACTGTGCATAAAATATCAATTTTTGATTTTAGCAAAAAATCTTCAAAAGTGCATTTGTTTAGTTTGATATAGGCTACTTTTGGTTAGAGACTTTGCAGAAACTAAAGTTGCAAGATTGGTCCCTCTGAAAATCAACGCCTCCCAAGGGATCAATCTCATAAACAATTAGGTATCCAGAAAAGACGCTGATTAAAAGTTGTTGCCTTTTATGTAATCATTTGCACTTTGTAACATTTCCCCCAAAATCATTTTTTTTGCACAGTAAAATTATATAAAGTTCCCAATTTGATTGGCTGGTCCCAACCTGATTAAGAAAGCAGGATGGATGTGCAGGGAATTGATCAAACATTAAAAAAGAAGAACATGTTAATACCTTGCTGTGTATGACATGCTGTGATACATGTATTTTATGTGCAACATTAAGCTTTAGACTACGGAAAAGTTTTTGGTGCAGACTGCATGGATTAGTTTGACAAAAAAACAAGTGAAAAATAAAATATTAAATTACCTTTGATTTACCAAATTTTTCTATTTAGATATAGACAAAACAAACTACTGTGCCATCAAATTTCTATTTTGCATTTCTATTAAGAAGTAAATCATTTCTTTGTATTTATAATGTACTCAATAATAAAGTCACTTTTTTAAATTCTGTTAAAATTAACTTCTGACCACATTAACCATGTTAACCATATTGTTAGTTTGATTTATCTTTGGAGGTTTCTAAAGTTTTTGTTAACTCGGCTAAGATCATTTTATATCCTGATCTCATGTTTTCCAAAAACAACGAGTGGACACATAAGAAGAAAATGAATTTCATCACTAACGTCAATGTTGCATAATTTACAGATTTTATCCTTCACTTGACGCCTTATAAATGACTAAAATTGTGGATATTTCCAGATATACATGTATGTAGATGACATGAATAAAAGCAGTTATCATTCCTAAGTTATATTTTCAAGCAGCTTCAATAATAATTTTGCAAGCTTCAATGTCTTATCTTTATGTATTTGTGCTACCATGATTTTTTTTTACCATTATCCATGCTTTTCTGCTCTTCCAACACAGTATCTCTCTCTGTTTTTTTTTTCCATTTTTTAATGTTTTTTTTACAAAAATTGTTCCTAAAAGAGTTGCCTAAAGTTATAAATATTATGCCAGTGTGAAATTAACATGTTCAGGGGTGGATTCAGGCGGATGTTCGCCCCCCCCCCCCCCCCCCCTCCTAAATATTGCAAAGCATGGGTTGTCCTAACTGAATAAAGAATATTTTGATAATTTTACCTCAAGAAAATTTTAGTTTGCGCCCCCTAACCTAAAATCCTGGATCCGCCCCTGATGTTCCCTATTGGGTGTAAATGTTATACATCAACTTACCCAGAATCTTTTCCATCATCACGTCCTACAAGCAGAATATAAATACATTTATCAATATCTGTATATTTGGGGAAATGACAAGGTACTTTACAAGTAGATATAAGAAGATGCCTATTTAATTTTGTTCCATAAATACCAGAAAATAAAAATTGTACAACTTTTAGCACATGTTTTTAGCAGCTGACTAGAGACATTACAGTAGACATTCAGAAAATGTAAACCATTACACTGATTTTTCTTTAAAATTTTTCAAATCAGATTTTATTGCCACAAAAATTTTCTTTTTAACATGTTTATTGATATAAAAGTATAAGGGAGTAACTGAATTTGTTTTTGCTGTAAAAATCATTCAAATGTATCTGATCTAAAAACATTGAATAAGATTTCCACGCACAATGTAGTCTCAAAGTCACGCTTACTTTTGCTTTCCTTGCACTATTTTAAAACTGTGCTTAATATAATATTATTCATACACCAACCCCTTATAAATTTTAAATCAATTTAAAGGTACTTTCAGTAGCAAAAGCATTTTAAAGAAAAATTGTAGGATCAGAATTCCAGAGATAGTAATTTAAAGTCAAAATTGCTGAACTTTTTTAAGATATTCATGTGACTTGTATACATCATGTACATTTGTGCTTTTTTTTCCGGAAATTTAACTTGCCATGTATCTCAGAAAGTATAAAAATATACAATGTTTTTGATGCTCATGTGCAGTGCCTCATGTTCTAGTTGAATGCAAAATTTCATAAAACTCCAAGAGATCAGCCGTTTACGTAATGCAAAATATCATAAAATTCCAAGAGATCGATCAGCCATTTAAGTATCCGTTACCCTAAAATAATTAAAGATATAACAAGTAAGACTCTTTGACAAATGATAATTTTTAAAAACCAAATTTTAAGCCACATTGCATAACATTTTTATTAAAAATGACACAATCTTTAGCACATTTTAAACACTGGTATTTCATTTCCTCTGACATTTTTGTTAGAATAACTATCTATTAAAATTGTCATAATTATATGATGATGATTGTTGAGAATACCCCGGGAGTTACGACATTGCATTTTACCTATTGTATCTAGGGTTGACGTCAGTGCGGACGTAGCCTTAGCACTCAGATATATATATGAAGTAAACGTTATGTAGTATGGTTGTTTTCTGATTTCTATATTACAATAGTTGATTTAGCCCTGACAATGATGATGATGATATTAAAATAATACCAAGCCATTGTCTTTAAAATCTTTTAAATACCTAGTGTTTACAGTCAAGATTGAATACTAGTGAATGAGAATACACCTTGTCACTATTTGTCTTCCATAACTTGACATTACAGATAATCCTGTAACATTTAACATTTTGATGTTATATAAAAGAAAAGGTATGTCACTACACTAGAAAACTTACATTGTATCATTGACATTGCACATAGTGTAAAAAGTTCTAAGAGCGTAATTATTGGAGGGAGGTTTAAAAGGTCCTGTTCGCTTTTTTTATGGTATAAAAACATGCAGGCAATCTATGATCAAAGACGTCACTCTGTTTAAAAATTTTCTGGCTACTCTTCAGAGACATGGTGAGTCGGTTTTTTACGTTAATCGTTATCTTGGACTTTCGTGTTGACTGTTCAGGCAGCGATCCTCGAAATCTATTTTTTACAAATAAGAGCAGGTGTTGTAACTTTTTTAACTGTATTTTATGTTGTTTTTTCTTTATTGTTATTCAAGAATTGTTTCAAATAGTATTTTGTTTACCTGTCATTTGTATAAAAAGCAAAAAGTGTATGTTACAATGTTGTGCTCTTTTAAAAATGGCGCGCCGCTTTTACATTAGTTTCGTAAAGATGAATTCTGAAAACGTAAATGTATATTCAAAACCATCGAATTCATTTTATTGTCAATATTTGAATTTTCAAACCATTATCATGAAAACCAATATGTCATTTACGAAAATTTTGATTTGGGATTTTCGTTTTATTTATAGTACAATGCCATGACGTCATAATCAGAAAGAAAATCCCTAGTCGATAAGTCGTCAGACTCACGTTTTATTCCTTTCAACATCACATGCAAATTATGATACATACGCATTTTTTAGAATGAAAAAAGTAAAATGCCAAATGAGGAGTCAATTAATCAGGCAGAAGTTATATGGAACTATTTGAAACTCAACCATACGCTCGAAAAGGTAATTTTCCAAATATTCACATTTTATCTGTAAATTTTAAAACAGAGACATATATATGTCTTTTGTAAAAGGCCATTAGCTATATATACGATTTAGACAAAAACAAACATTTTTTTATTTTTTTATTATTAAACATTGATTTTGGGTAATAACACGGATTTAACGATAAACTATATAATGGAGTAGAGTGTACCTTAACGACGACTTCAATACTGTAGGGTTTATAAAAAATGGTATTAGTTTCCATGCAATGGCGTTGGAGTATACTGAATAGTCGGTAATAATGGGGGAATGTGGCAAGCAAAACAGGTCTAAATTAAAGAAGTAAGTAATTAGTGTCCTCTTTCATTGTTATTTTTTATTTTAAGAAAGTGGAAAAAAAACATAGTTTTGCCACCCCAATTTTGAAAGGGGTACATATTGCCCCCTTGCCCCCGGCTCCTACGCCCCTGGTTTCCCAATTTCGTTACCTAATTTGACTTTAGTTTCGAGTTTTAAAAATGCTTTAAATATTTCTTGTCAATTCCCTTCTTCCTCTCTTTGCTTAGAATAACAATATATGATTGTTTGTCGCATTCACTACACATGCATCGATTTTCCCGCGCGGCATGGAAACTACACATCCCTGAAGTATAAACTAAAACTGTGAACCCATTGTTTTTCTGTATTTCAAATTATTTCAAGGGTGGAAAGAGTGTAGGAGCTTCACCATTTTTCTCAATGAAGATCTCAGGACCCGCTTTTATACATCTATATTTCATTTTTTTTTTAATTAACTTAATATTCCTCAATATTTTAACTTATTGTAAAATCGTATGGATAGGAACAAGAACACGTCAAATGACTAATAATTTGGAATATTAAGGGAAAACAATTAAAACACAAATACATGTAAATATATATAGAAATATATAGAAAGAAAGGGGGAGGGGGTATATTCATCAACCGCCTGCATAGAAGATGGTCCAAAACATTTTATTTTGATCAATTTGACATGTCAGTCTGTTCAATGCAGTGTTTTTATAAATAGAACATACAAGCTTGCACTAGGGATTTAGAAGGAACACATCCTTGTTTATTTTCTTCTTTTTTTCTCTCGCCTCGTTAGTAAGGGGGTATTATGTATTCCGCCTTTTTTTCGTCCATCCGTCGGTCCGTCCTTCCATCTCATATCAGGTTCAAAAATTTGGTCTTAAGATGTGATTTTTTAAAAATAATATGCTTAATAAGGGTTTTAACCCTGAATTCACGGTTCACTGGATATATAAGTATAGTGCGAGTAGGCGGCATAGTGTCCTATAAAAAGATTCTTTTTAACACTATAGTAAATGAGTATTATCGTAAAAGATCTGAACCAAATAAACCGTTTTATGGGGGGAGGGTTTTTAAGTCAGTGTACTAGTTTTAATTTTACATTATGTTTTAAGTGGCACGGATAGTAGCCTTTGTCCGTGATTGCCAAGACTGGTCATCGGGATCAAATTTGACCATTGTATGGATTTTATTCATATGAAGAGAAAATCAAAATTCTATATTATTCTTGCCAACTTAGATACTATAGTTTTTATTATTTTATTCTAAGTTTACCATTTTCTTCTATTTTACTGATTGAATTTAGCGGATCTTTTTAGTTAATGTTTCGCCCTTTTTCAGAGCGATTTAATTATCGTATTCGGGAATCCAGATACAAGGACAATAGAATATGCTTCAAAATTGTGGTTAGATGGGTTCGCTGAATGGTTGATGATTACTGGGAAGGAAGGAACGCTTACAAAAGGTATTTTTGGTGGTTTTAGCAAAATTCGAGTACACCCTCATAGAAAAATAACTTTAAAATATCGTATTTTTGGTTCCTTATTTTTACTTTATTCTTACTTCAACATGTCGGACAATAACTCAAAAACGCTTTAACCAATTTGCATGAAACTTTAGTGAATTATTTACATTTATTGACTTGAGCTCCCTTTCGATTTTTATAAATTTTAAATTTTACGTTTCCGAGTTGTGGGGTTTTATTAATTAATAAAGTGTGATTTTCCAGTTTTCGGACTATAACCCAAGAAGGCTTTGTGCGGTATGGGCTTTGCTCATTGTTGAAGGCCGTACGGTGACCTATAGTTGTTAATTTCTGTGTCATTTGGTCTCTTGTGGAGAGTTGTCTCATTGGCAATCATACCACATCTTCTTTTTATACGCCCGTTTACGGGACGTATTATGGTATACCGTTGTCCGTCTGTCCATCCGTCTGTCCGTCGTCAACATGTCGGACATTAACTCAAAAATGCTTTAACCAATTTGCATAAAACTTTGGTGAATTGTTTATATCTATTGACGCGAGCTCCCTTTCGTTGTTTTCAGACAATAAGTCAAGAATGCTTTCACCATCTTGCAAGAAATTGTGGTGAATTGTTTATATCTATTGACACGAGCTCCCTTTCGATTTTTATAAATTTTAGATTTTACGTTTCCGAGTTACAGGGTTTTATTCATAAAAAAGGGGGGGATTTTCCAGTTTTCGGACAAAAACAAAAATGCTTTCAGCAATTCTTATGAAACTTTGGTGAATTGTTTGTATGTATTCATGTAAGCTCCCTTTAGAATTTTATAAATTTTACATTTTACATTTCTGAGTTATGGGGTTTTATTCATTAAAAAAAGGGGTGATTTTCCAGTTTTCGGACAATAACTCAAAAATGCTGTCACCAATTCTCATGAAACTTTGGTGAATTGTTTATATCTATTGATGTAAGCTCCCTTTTTATTTTCATACATTTCTAATATGACATTGAGAATTAATTGAACTTTATTTGTTTATAGTCTGACAACAGATTTACTAAGTATTGCACAACAGCAAGAAATCTTTAATTGAATATAAATTCCAATTCATATAACCAATTTCAAGTTCTTTGACTACATTTATTCAGAAACCTATAATATGTCAAATATTTAATTACAATCCAAATTCAGACCTGAATCAAGCTTGAATATTGTGTCCATTTTTGCTCCAACTGTTCAGGGTTGGACCTCTGCGGGCGTATCTAGCTGCGCTCAGCGAAGCAGTTTATTTATATTTGAGCTGTTTTCATGAAACTTTGATAAATTGTTTTTATCTATTGACGTAAGCTCCCTTTCGATTTTTATAAATTTAAGATTTTAAATTTCCGAGTTATGGGATTTTATTCATAAAAAAGGGGGATTTTCAAGTTTTCGGACAATAACTCAAAAGTGCTTTGATCAGTTTTCATGAAACTTTGGTGACTGTTTTATAAAGATCTATTAAAATAACCTCCCTTTAGTTTTTATACGACCGCAAAAAAATTTTGCGGTCGTATATTGGTATGACGTTGGCGTCATCGTCGTCGTCGTCGTCCGAAGACCCATTGGTTTTCGCACTCTAACTTTAGTTTAAGTGAATGGTTCTCTATGAAATTTGATCATAAGGCTCACTACCACAAAAGGAAGGTTAGGATTGATTTTTGGGGTTATGGTACTAACAGTTAAGGAATTAGGGGCCAAAAAGGGGCAAAAAATAAGCATTTTTGTAACTTCCAGACATAACTTGTGTGATAGTGTATGGATCTCTCTGACATTGTACCACAAGGTTCCATATCACAAAGATAATGCTGGGATTGATTTTGGGGGTAATTGCCTCAAAATTTTAGAAATTAGGGGCCAAAAAAGGGGCAAAAAACAAGCATTTTTCTAGTTTCATGACAATAACTTGTGTGTAAGCGTATGGATCTTTATGAAATTGTACTACAAGGTTCCATATCACAAAGGGAAAGCTGGAATTGAGTTTGGGGGTAATTGCTCAAAACGTTTAGGAATAAGGGGCCAAAAAGGGGCCAAAAATAAGCATTTTTCTAGTTTCCAGACAATTACTTGTGTTCAAGTGTATGGATCTCTCTGAAATTGTACTGCAAGGTACCATACCACAAAGGGAAGGCTGGGATTGATTTTGGGGGTAATTCTCTCAAAATTTTTAGGAATTAAGGGCCAAAAAGGGACAAAAAACAAGCATTTTTCTAGTTTCAGGACAATAACTTGTGTGTAAGTGTATGGATCTTTATGAAATTGTACTACAAGGTTCCATATCACAAAGGGAAAACTGGGTTTGAGTTTGGGGGTAATTTCCTTAAACGTTTAGGAATTTGGGGCCCAAAAAGGGGCCTAAAAACAAGCATTTTTCTAGTTTCCAGACAATTACTTGTGTTCAAGTATATGGATCTCTCTGAAATTGTACTGCAAGGTACCATATCATAAAGGGAAGGCTGAGATTGATTTTGGGGGTAATTCTCTCAAAATTTTAGGAATTAGGGGCCAAAAAGGTTAAAAAAAACAAGCATTTTTCTAGTTTCAGTACAATAACTTGTGTGTAAGTGTATTGATCTTTATGAAATTGTACTACAAGGTTCCATATCACAAAGGGAAAGCTGGGCTTTAGTTTGGGGGTAATTGCCCTAAACGTTTAGGAATTTAGGGCCCAAAAAAGGGCCTAAAAAAACAAGCATTTTTTTCTAGTTTCCAGACAATTACTTGTGTTCAAGTGTATGGATCTCTCTGAAATTGTACTGCAAAGTACCATACCACAAAGGGAAGGCTGGGATTGAGTTTGGGGGTGATGAATCATAAGGGGGTTCAAAAAATTTGGGGGAGAGATATTTTTTTCCTTTTTTTCCTTTTTTTTTCTTTAAAATTTTCCATTTTAAATTGGTTATTTCTGATTTATATATAAAAGCAAATAATAATGTTATGGTTTGAATAGGTAAATTAAAATTCTTTAAGTTCTTAGACCACATTCATTCTGTGTCAGAAACCTATGCTGTGTCAAATATTTAATCACAATCCAAATTCAGTGCTGTATCAAGCTTGAATGTTGTGTCCATACTTGCCCCAACTGTTCAGGGTTCGACCTCTGCGGTCGTATCAAGCTGCACCCAGCGGAGCATTTTATTTTTTAATAAATTTCTGATGTGACATTGAGAAGTTATGGAACAGTATTCTTTGAAAAAACGACGGGCGTATCATGCGCTCATGGCGCAGCTCTTTATTGTTATTGTAGTCGGTACATTCTATGTGAATATATTATAAAAGCGGGCGGGGTGGGTTCCCATATAAATGACCAAAACAAATACAATCTAATTGAAAGTAAAAAAAAAACCTAACTGCAATATTTTTTCTCTCTGTTTTCATTAATGAGAACATCCGAAGTTATTTAAATTAGATCTTTAGTTTTTTCTCTCCAGGAAAATGGCAAAAGCCCGAGGCGCAAATATTCAAAGATATTGCCGTTAGTCAGGGTGTACCAGAAGGAAAGATACTTTTGGAAGAAGAAGCAACGAACACAGGAGAAAATGTAAAATGTTCACATGAAATACTTAAGAAACTAGGTCTATTAGATTCGGTTAAAACAATAATTTTGGTTCAGATGCCATTTATGGAGAGAAGAACATATGCAACATTTGCTAAGCAGTGGCCAGGCGGTTTGAATCAGCTGGACAGAGTGATTGTTACGTCGCCAGACATAGATTTAATGTCATACCCCAACGACGATATTGGTGATTTGGATAAAATAATAGAAATGATGGTTGGTTGTCTCCAACGTGTCAAAAATTACCCTAAACTTGGATTTCAGATTGAACAAGACATTCCAGATAGTGTTTGGCACATGGGAGAGAGCTTGTTGTCCAGTGGGCATTACTAATTTCAATAAACCCTACTTTATATATTAAAATATACACTGAAACTCGTTAAATATGTTTGAATAATTGTTCAAAACTATTTCTGCAATGTGTTCTTGTAACGAAGTCAGTAAGTGGGTAAATACATTTTATTATGTAATTAGAAAGTTAAGACTGTTTCTAAAGTTCAAATGTTCGATTGTTCACAAACTGTCTCTTAAGTTAAATTGTTCGAATGTTCATATCGTCACACGGACACCTGATCGTAAAGTGGTATAACCGTTCAGTCCTGATGGAGTACATTCGGATATTAGTGCATTAGTTCCAGCCTACCCACGAGGGGGGAGACCTTGGCCGAATCTCCTGTCGGAATCTATCTGTACGAATCTATCTGTACCAATCTATCTGTACCAATCTATCTTTCGAGTCCAAAGCTGGATCTTATATAGTTCAGTGGGCCATTAATCACCTTTAAACTATGACCCATAGCTGTTAGGCCGGTTACGTAGTAGTCTGGTTGTGGAGTAATACTAGTCTGTGGTTAATTGTCAAACTATGCAATTAACCCCTGACGGATACATGTTATTTCACAGTAGACATGGTCATTTATTGGCTGCAGGGTATATGTCTATAATATTCGTACAGATTGTTATTAAGTGTCTAAAGGTTACATGCAATCGTTTCGGATTTGCTGTATTTAGTTACTTCTTGATGATTAACGTATGGAACACAATTGTGTTACATTCTGAATGGAGGAATTAGCGAGCATATTTTCAAATTCAAAACCTCATATAGTCAAAAAGTTATATATAGCTATCACTCACGTTTTTCAATATATGCATGTATCAATATGGAGATGAGATTTGATTGCCGATGACACTACTGCCAATAAAGACCGAGGGACAAAAAAAAATCAACAACAACAGGTCTCCGAACGGCCTTCAACAATGAACAAACCCTAATCGAATAGTAAGGTATGACAAATTGTGAAACAATTCAAAAAAAATTGTTTGATTGATTTCTGGTTGCTTAACGTCCAGTGGCAAATATTACATGCATGTTTATGCCGAAAAAACCAACGGGCCCTGATGTATACTGCAACTATGACCGAAAAATAATTTTGTCGACAGCAACCAAAACAACCATTGGATAACACGACAGGCATGTAAAGAATATAACGGGATTTAAAGACATTTGTAAGCGCTTTTGTATTGTCTAAGTTAACTACACCCCCCAAAAAAAACGTCAACTATAGTTTCATCTCGAATTCTAGTAAGTGTCCTATAACTGATATTTCTGTCCTATTAACAAGTTCCGAAGACATTTGGTTTCCAGACAATAACTTGAGAATAAGTGTATGGATTTCTATGAAATTGTACCACAAGGTTCCATACCACAAAAGGAAGGTTGGGATTGAAATTTGGGCTATTGTCTTAACTAAAAGAATTAGGGGGAAAAACAAGCATTTTTCTTGTTTCAGGAGTATAACTTGTGTATAAGTGTATGTATTACTATGAAATTGTACCACAAGGTTCCATACACAGACAGGATGGTGGGGTTGATTTTGGGGGTTATGGGCCAAACCGTTTATGAATTAGGGGCCAAAAAATTAGGATTTTCTGGTTTCCGGATAATAACTTGAGTATACGTCTATAAATTTGATTTTAACAAAAATTGAATTCAAGGGATCTAGATATGCTGAATGTAAGCATGTATTTAGATTTTTTATTTTTGGGCCCAGTTTTTATATTGGTCTAAATCGGGGTCCAAAATTAAACTTTGTTTGACTTCAACAAAAAATTAATATTTGGGTTTCTTTGATATGCCGAATGTTACCGTGTATTTAGATTTAGATTTTGGGCCCTGTTATAAAATTGGTCCACATTGAGGTCCAACATTAAACTTTGATTGATTTCATCAAAAATTGAATTCTTGGAGTTCTTTGATATGCTGATTCTAACCATGTAATTAGATTTTGGGTATTTGACCATCATAGGTAAATGTCCAATTTCAAATTATTTGAGTTCTTAGACAATATTCATTCTATGACAGAAACTATGCTTTGTCAAATATTTAATCAGAAACCAAATTCAGAGGTATATTGCACAATTAATAGAAAATGTAAGTTGAGTCATAGTTAAAAAAGATACAGCAGCAAATCTAATTTTAGAGAAGAAATAATGTATAGATATAGTTTGAAATTTACTGTTCATTATTGGATATTTTGAAAAAATAATTAGAAGTAATTTTTATAGATATTTTAAAGACTTTGTATTTAATGAATATTGATATTTTGGAAATTGTTTTTTTTTCTTCATTTTTTGTAAATGTTTTGAAGAACTTCGTTGTATACATACTAATAATAGGTTTGTTTGTTATTCTGTATAAATTAATTTTCAGAATGCTATATATATATATACTTTTTTTAATGAAGCGAACCCCTTTAAAACCTTCTTGGTGTACTTGGACTGTGTATTTAGATTTTAGATATTTGACCATTATAGGTAAAAGTCTAATTTCAAAATTTTCAGTTCTTTGACCACATTCATTCTGTGTCGGAAACCTATGCTGTGTCAAATATTTAATCACAATTTAAATTCAGAGCTGTATCAAGCTTGAATGAAGTGTCCTTACTTGACCCAACTGTTCAGGGTTCAGGGTTCGACCTCTCCGGTCGTATCAAGCTGCGCCCGGCGGAGTATTTATTAGTTATTGTCATAAAAATCATTTAAGTCTCCTAAACAAAGTTTCTTCTTCTTCGACCTACGGCGCCAGCAAACTAGTTTAACCCCGCCACATTCTGTATGTGCATGTCCCAAGTCAGGAGCCTGTAATTCAGTGGTTGTCGTTTGTTGCTGTGTAACATATTTGTTTTTCGTTCATTATTTTGTACATAAATTAGGCCGTTAGTTTTTTCTCGTTTGAATTGCTTTACATTTGTCATTTCGGGGCCTTTTATAGCTGACTATGTGGTATGGGCTTTGCTCATTGTTGAAGGTCGTACGATGACCTATAGTTGTTGATTTCTGTGTCATTTGGTCTCTTGTGGAGAGTTGTCTCATTTGCAATCATACCACCCCATCTTCTTTTTATATAAACAGTAAAGGTTAAAATTATACAAAGACAAATAAAAAGAACAATAATTGTGTTTTTCTAGATTTGAACTTTTCAGTTTCACAGGAGAAACTTTATACACATTTTGTAACAAAAGAGACGATTTTTCGTTTCTGACTTTTAATTTTTTCCTTTTTTTGGACGGTGATGTTCTCTTTGCCCCTAATTCTTGCGTTGTGTATATTTTCGAACTCGTTTTATTAAGCCCGTGTTTGAAGTTACGTTTTCTGTTTAAATGAACGTAAACTATGTATAACTGCTGCATGGCATATAAGTGAGTCGGGGATTTAGTTACCACAAAGGGGTCTCGGATTAAAAAAAATGTAGTCCAACTACTGTATCACTAGCCTAGAGTTAGAATCCCACTCGTGGCAGGTGCGGTCGACTTCAGTCTCAATTGACTATGATTGTCAGTTTTTCTGCCGAAGGTCGGTGGTTCTCCCCGGACATTCTAGCTTCCACCACCATAAAAAAAACTGAAATAGCACAATAGTGCTAAAGGAGGCGTTAAACAATATCAATCAACTAATGAAGCGTTACCACAAATTACTTAAAACCTTTTCTAAATTCGTTTATAGATGCATGCACTGACTTTTATTTAATTTGTAGAAACCGTATTACAAACTGGATATCACATCCTAATTGTTAGTGATGTTGTTTATATAGCCCGTAAATTTAGATACGACCCATGTAACTTATGGATCATTCGAATAAGCCTTTTAAGGTCATCAAGCAAACAGTGTGATAAGATATTTGAATAATAACATTGTTTTTTTCAATAATTAAACCTTAATTAAATATGTATTGTTATAACAAATTCTGTGTGTGCCTATCCCAAGTCAGGAGAATATTCAGCGGTAACCATTGGTTTCTGTCTGTCATATATGTCTTTCATTCATTTCTTTAGCATAAGTCGGCAGTTTGGGTATTCTTATTAATTGCTTAATTCCCATATTGTTATGCCGTATTCTTATATATATGTAGGACTCAAATCTATGGTGGGTTCCAGATCTATGGCAGATCCCTAATCTATGGCAAATATGACGTCATGCCATCCCAAATCTATGGCAGATTTGTTACAATCCTAATCTATGGCAAGTTTTGTAATTTCCTAATCTATGGCGGATTTTTGTTGTTTCCAAATCTATGGCAAATTTTGTGCATATGGAAAACAAGGCAGTACATATACGATTGATGCCTTTTCTTAAACAAGTGAAAATGTATGAAAACGGAAGCATGTTTATAAACATTTTTGAAACAAACATTCCTATACCATAATACAGACCTCAGGATTAAAATGATGCGCCCCGGAAAAATAAGCGTCTGCTCTTTGGTCGGTTTGTTGTCTCTTTGACATATTCCCCATTTCCATTCTCAATTTTATTAATTTTATGGTACCTGTTTAGTCTTTTTATTAAACCAACTAATAAAAATGGAAGTCCCATGACAAACAAGAAAGCAGTTTTTTATGAAAAGAATCAAACAGTTTAATTTTTCATATAATATTTATTTGAGCGTTAATCAATTTTTTTTTAACTAATGACGATTTAAGTCAAAGTGGTATCTGTAATTTCATCTCTCACTTTATATACATTGCCAGGCGTAGATGCTAAAATATAAATTATAACTCCTTTCCTAAAATATCCACTACTAAAAACAGCCGTGCCTTTATTCATCGCGGGATTCGGACAGTACAGCACATCTTCCTTTAAACCATCGGCTAATTGTTTTTAGAGGGAGAGTGTTTCCCTGTGTTTTTGTTTGTAAAAATATGAAATCTGTGAGCCTCGTGTTAAATATTTGTTTTCGGTTTACATCATACAATTAAAAGACAAAAATTATAAATGGTGTTCAAATCTATGCCGGTTCTGCCAACGTTAGCGCCGGCGACGACGACGTAATTATGGCGTTATTTAATTGTGACACTATATGTTACTCTTTTCCCCGGAAAATT